TATGATATATATAATCACAAGATGGTAATTTCAGAATCAATAAAGAATTAACTGATATATATAATCATATGATATATATAATCACAAGACGGTAATTTCAGAATCAGTTAAGAATTAACTTATATATCATATATATGATATATATGGAAATAACTGAAATCTTGATAAAGGTAATTTAACTTGTAAGACTGTTAATTGTGTATGATGTGGTGAGTATACTGGTATTTGGTTTGTTTACCACTTAAAAGCCCTGTCTGTAGGATAGGAAGTAACTTGAATGTGGAATGCTTAGGGACTCAGAATAAGAGGCCATATGTATATCCTTGAGCTGGAGTTTAAGGAAATCTTATGGGAAATTAAAAGGAAAGTTGGAGTACTGGCAGGGGAGTCGATGGGACTCATGAAAAAGGAATGAAGTTACCTTAAATTCTATCATCGTGAGTTCAAGTGAAACTAGATTTATCGTAGTTTATAGCCTAGAATTCTATCCTAGGAATCTAGATATATCCTAAATGTTGAGATAGCTGCATAAACAATAACTGTAATAGTTACGATCAATAATGAAAAATATTTTTAGCATGTTTTGTGAAGCTGATAAAAGTTAATAGAATGTCTTCAGATGTCAGAATTCTTTTTTCTTTGCTTCTTTTTAAAAAAATTTCTTTTCCCCATTCCTATGCAATACACTGAAAACTGATCATTGAAATTTGTAGGCCAAAAAATTATCAACACATAATAGATTGGGGTTTGGGTTTCGTTGAGTCGGGGTCTTTTTCTGTCACCCAGGCTCTAGTGCAGTGGCACCATCATAGCTCATTGCAGCCTTGAATGCCTGGGTTCAAGCGATCCTTCCAAGCAGCTGCCATGCCATTATTTCTAGCTAATTTTTAAAAGTTTTTGTAGAAATGGGGTCTTGCTATGTTGCCCAGGCTGATCTTGAATTCCTGGCCTCAGGTGATCCTTCTGCCTTGGCCTCCCAAAGTTCTGAGATTACGGGTGTGAGCCACCGTGCCCAGCCCCTAATAAATATTTTAATTACCAATTTATCTTGCTTAAATCAGTTGGTAACACTTGGAATTTTCTTCAGAATATATTTGACATTAGTGGCTCTAACTGCTAATCCCCCCTTCCCCAAATGCTAATGTAATATAACAAAATGCACAGTTCTTAAGTTTATATAAAATAAACTTAGGTTTTCAGTTGACCTGCTTTAAGTGTAAAATAGTTTGAAAAACACAAGAAAGAAGATAAAGAATTTAAGATTTTGACATTTCTCTAATATGCCCTTAACTTCTCCAAGGAGTCATACTTTTTTTTGTGAGACAGAATCTCACACTGTTGCCCAAACTAGAGTGCAGTGGTGCAATCTCCACTCACTGCAACCTCTGTCTCTGGGCTCAAGTGATCCTCCCACCTCAGCCTCCTGAGTAGCTGGGACTACAAGTGCACAGCACCACACCCAGCTAATTTTTTTGGTTTTTTTTTTTTTTTTTTTTTGGCCTGGGAAGGGGTTAAAGATGAGATTTTGCCATGTTTCCCAGGCTGGTTTTGAGCTCCTGGGCTCAAGTGATCCCTCCGTGATCCACCATGTTTAGCTGATTCATACTTTTAACTGAAACATTGTTCCAGGTTCCTCAGAAACAGTCAAGGCTTTTTATCTAGAGACCATTTATAACTGGATCTTTCTTTTTGTAGCACTGACTCATCAAATTCATCCTAAACTCCTAATGAGTTAAATTTATGTTCTGAATCTTGCTGTAAAAGCAGCCATTCATTAGAATGAAACATGTTTACTTATAATTGGAGAAGGGAGCTTATAACTCATCTAGTCTACCCCCTCTTATGACACTTCTACATTCTTTCTGCACTTCTGCCAAAATGTTGCCCAGCGTCATCTCAGATATCTGTAGTCCTAACGAGAATATGAATTGTAGCTTGTATCCTTAATTTTACTCTTCTGTGCTTGTTTGTCATTCATGTGAAGACCTTAAATAGATCTTAAATTGCTTCCTTCACTTTAGCTGAGAGTAATAGGACTGACTGTGTAGGTTTGGGTGTGTCTCTGCATTAGCTTGTTTAAGCAGGATAATAAAAACTTTTACTATAGGAAATTAAACATTTCCCAATCAAATCAATTCCAGTCTAACACAATTAAATTCTGATTAGGGAACTGGTTAATTTACTAGACTTAGAGGAAAATCCTAAAGAAATGTAACTAAAACTCTGTATTTACACTTTATAAATATAAACCTCTGTGAACAAACCAGTTATTTCAGGTTGCATTGGTGTATAGTTTTTTAATGCCTTATTTTTCTATTTTAAAATCACAGATGCAATTATGCATTCAAACACTGCCACAATATTTTGAGAAAGTTAAAGTTTCCCCTACTCCTACACTACGTACACCTTTCCCAGGTATGTACCAGTTTGGTGTGTAACTTTAGATTTCTTCCAAGAGCTTTTAAGTCGGTGTTTGAATTATGGGAAGATTCTTCAGTTAAATGAACTTCTTAGATGAGTTTTTTAGTACAGTAGCACAAAATATACCTGTGTACCTATGGGGATACCTCTGTGCCATTACGATGGAGGGCAAGGGAAAACAGCACTCCGTATATACCTAGTTTACTTTCCCTCTTGTGTATATTTGTCTAATTTTGTGGAGCTGATGCTTCTCAAATGGAATCAGAAGTTAGTTTTTCCTTTACTATTTTCTCATTATGGTTTCTTAACTAGAGGTTGATGTTAGTAGTTGGACAGAGAATTCAGTAGTAAGTAATGACTTCAGTAAGGGATCTCTAGAACCTAGATCCCTTAATCCCTGCGATATTCCCGTGTGCACATTGTTCCAGGTGCTGTGCTGGGTACCAAGGGATACAATGTTTGATAGACAATGTACCTGCCATTATGGAGTTCACATTTTAGTGTGGGAAGACAAACAATAACAAGAAAGTGAAAATTTACTGTGTCATGCCAGGTTGTTTAGCCTGGTGGGTGCAAGGTAGGGGTTTGGAAAATCTTCCAGAGCAAGTGACATTTGTGTGGAGCTCTGTAAAAGGGCAAGCTTGGAAGGTAATGTAGTCATCCAGGTGAGAAATGATGGTTAGGGGAGTGGAAAGAGTGGATGTTGAGACTGAAAAGAATTCCAAATCTATTTTAGTGGTAGCTGATAGGACTTTGTGATTGAACGTGGAGGAAAAAGAAGAGGGTGGGTTAGTAGCACACTCAGTCGCAGTTAGTGAGTGCTGCTGTGTGCAAGTATTGTTCTATTATGTAAATAATTTCATCTTTACAAGGTAGGCACCATTCTTCCTCTTTTACAGACAAGGAAAGGGGAATACCCGTGCTTCACATCTGTAGTAGTCTAGCCAGGAGTTTCAGTCACTCATTTTCTGAAGATGTTCTGCCTGGCAATGTGGTTATATTGCTTGAAATGAGACCCCTACTCTCAAGGTATTCATCTAGAAAAGACATGAACTGCCAATTACAAAACAGGATAACACTGAAATTAGAGATGTGTTTATTAGCTTTGCTATACAGAGAGGTAAAGTAACTCTTTACAGTAACTCTTTGCTTGGGTTAGTGGATAAGGCTATAAAAATTACTTTGAATTTTTACTCTGAACATGGGTAATTAACATGGAATGTTTAGGGAAAAGAGGTTTTCAATTGATAACATAATAAACATGAGGAGTTTGAAGCATGGCGTTCAAGGCTCCCTAAATTCTGCCCCGGTTAACTTGCCATTCCTTGGTTTCATTCTAGTCCAGGTTTTCCTTCTGGGCCGCCCCTCCCCACATTAGAACTCTCCTTTCTGGAATTCCAGCTCAAGCCCTAGCTTTTCTCCATCTGTCATGATCTTACCCCATCTCAATGTCAGGGTAATTTTTATGTAATATTAACATATATAATACTAACATAACATTATCATATTTTAATGTTTGGATCATCTTCTCTGCAACATTGTAACCTCTTGAAGATGACAATAAAGGGGAGAATGACTTGATTTTACTTTTTCTTTTAACAAAAATGACAGAGTTGTCTGGGCACGGTGTGACTCATGCCTGTAATCCCAGCACTTTGGGAGGCCAAAGCGGGTAGATCACTTGAGGTCAGGCATTTGAGACCAGTCTGGCCAACATTGTGAAACCCCGTCTCTACCAAAAAATACAGAAACTTGCTGGGCCTGATGGCATATACCTGTAGTCCTAGCTACTCAGGAGTCTGAGGTGAGAGAATCGCTTGAACCTGGGAGGTGGAGGTTCCAACTTGGGTGACAGAGTGAGACCCTGTCTCAAAAGAAAAAAAGAAAAAAGGGCCAGGTGCGGTGGCTCACGCCTGTAATTCCAGCACTTTGGGAGGCTGAGGCAGGTGGATCACCTGAGGTCGGGAGTTTGAGACCAGCCTGACCAACATGGAGAAACCCCGTCTCTACTAAAAATACAAAATTTGCCGAGCGTGGTGGCGCATGCCTGTAATCTCAGCTACTTGGGAGGCTGAGGCAGGAGAATCGCTTGGACCCAGGAGACAGAGGTTGTGGTGAGCTGAGATCATACCATTGCACTCCAGCCTGGGCAACAAGAGCAAAATTCCATCTCAAAAAAAAAAGGGGGGGGAGAGAGAAAAAGGCGGAGTACTCTAGGGAATTCTAGTTTGTGTTTCTGTGGAAATGTAGCTGAATCTCACTTTTAAAGGATGGAGATTTTTGAATGGCATTACTAGTTGGTAAGTTTTGTTCTAACAGGGTACCCAGGTCTAGTGAGTCCGATTCATTCTTTCCTTAAATAGATGAAGGAGGAAACATGAACTCCACCCTCAAGAGTAAGGCAGAATGAGCAAAGTCAGAGAAGTTAGAAAAGAATTCTCACGTGGCCAGCAGTGCAGAAAATCCTTGGTTTAGCTGTGAATCAAAACCAGTACTTTTTGTAATTTTTGAGCCTATGCAATACTCCAAGGTTTTATGTTGTTTCTTCTGTTTCTCTGTAGGCACCAGAAATGAAAACCTCAAATAAGAAAGTGTTGCTTGAAGATTTTAGAGTACTGTATATGTGTATAAGTGTAAGTAATATTTAGAAGACGATTTTACTGTGCTCCAGCTTGGCTTGAGAATTCCAGGGGCAAAAGGAAATGAGGGTGATGTTGGAAAGGAGAGTCGTATTAAGTCCCAGCCACATACTAAGTGCTAACCACGTACTGTTAATAGGTGCTAATGTTCTAGATTGACAAAATGCATAGTCTCTACCCTAAAGTAACACATAATTTAGCAGTGCAGAAAGATGTCACTTAAAAGAAAACTTGAATGTATGCTGAGATAGTTCACAAATTAAAGAAATAAACAAAGAACTGAGGAAATAAAGGAGGAATACAACTATGTCCAGATGGTTACTTAACTGGGTGGCTGTTGCGTATGTAAGCAGGTGGTTCACCTAAAAGTTGGGTGTAATGTAGTGAATGCCAGCTCTTGGTGCACTTTCATATTGCATTGTTTCCGGGCTTAATTTGTGTTTATGTAGAAAAAAATTTTTTGTTGGTTTTTAATTTTTTTTTACGGGTTCCTTATAATTCCGTGGTTGATATTCAAAGTGAAAAAAATTATATAAGCTTCTAATATATGAGAAGCCGTCTCACTTGACATTTTTTATTTGGAATTTTTGCAGAGAATAGTTTTGTCACAGTCAAAAGATTTTGGGATCTTGGAGTGAGAAACCTCGGTGTAATTCCTATTTCTCTGCCATTCCGTATGTCATGTGGAGTAAGTGTCAACTTCTCAGTCTCAAGATTCTCATCCTTAAATGGAATACTTTTTGTCATGCTATTTTGAAGACAAAATGAGATAATATGTGAAACTGCCTAGCTCAGTGACTGGTACATCATGGATACTCAGAAAAAACACACCCTCTAAAATAAGAACAGTACCAAAAGACAGGATGTAAAATAAGGGCAGTGCCAAAAGACACATGCATGCTGAGTGTGTGAGAAAGAACTCCATGGCCTTCCTGGGTGGCGCAGGCCATGGCAGTTCCACAGCATGACGTGGTTGCTGTGGGCGGTAGAGCAGACATGCCGCTCCCCATCACTGCCTGGCTTTGATGCTTTCTTGCTTCAGCTGAGAGGACACAGCTGTGATACAAAGACCTTGTGTGTACAGTCATGACCTCACATTTTCAGTTTCCTGCTGGCAGAGCCCACAATCTCCAATGTACGAGCACCAGAGTTGGCCTGAGACAGACAGCATACAGAGGCTTGTAACATCCTTCTGGAAAACACTGTGTAAGCTTTCAGTACGAATAAACATGATCAGTGGTAAGTTCTGTCAGATGTAGTCTGCAACCATCCTGATTTTACTGAGCAAGCTATGTTGATTTACAGGTGGCTGATGATTCCGTGGATAGTCCACTGCTAGTATTTTTTACAAATTTAACAAGACATTCTTACTGGAAGATTGCCCTGTTCTTACGATACTGCTGCCCTTTTTCCTTCATTTGCTGTTCAGACTAAACTTGGAGACTACAGTCAGTCAGAGAACTTGCTAGACCACCTCTCAGGTTATTCTTTCATTCCTGATCATCTTCAAAATTTTGAAAAAGAAATTGTAAAAATGACATCAGCCACATATAGGCTTATGTCCTTGAGAAGCAGAAGTTAATTACCTAAACACAGCAAGTACCTTAAACTCGGTGGAGTTGAATTCCACTATGCAAGGAATCAAAGTAACAATGAAATTATGATTGGAATGACATCAAGAGGAATTCTGATTTATAACAGACTACGAATGAGTACCTTTCTATGGTCGAAGATTGTAAAAATTTGTTTTAAGTGCAAACAGTTTTTTATTCAGCTTTGAAAATGGCTTGCATAAATCTGGAGAAAGATTATCAGGATTTAATATGATGAATTGTAGAGCATGTAAATGTTTGTGGAAAGCAAGTTTAGAACATCACATATTCTTCTGTTTGGACAGACCACTTCCAACTAGAAATAATTTTTTTGCATATTGTTTTACATTAGGTTCAAAATTCCTAATGCACCGTGGGAGAACTGAAGTTCAGTTAGTTCAGTATGACAAAGAAAAGGCAAATAAAGACAGACTACTTGCAGGATCCTCAAGTAAGCCATTGACGTGGAAATTAATGAATTGGGAAGTAGTAAGCAGGAATTCAATATCTGATGAAAAGATTAGAAATGTAAAGCCTTCCATCACAGCTGCCACCTGGAACAGGAATTCCTACTCATCAAAATTTTGCATTCACACAAGAGGGAACCTGATTATGACCATCTTCAGTTGGTCATTTGGTAGATTATGTGGTTCACACTTTTTCCAAAGTATTTGCAAATCAGAGATCACCATTATCAGCACAAGCTGATAGCATCACTCTGGAATCATCACCATTAGAGGACACCCCTGAGATGGGTAGTCTCCGGCTTTACCACCCAAACAATCTAAGAAAAACAGTTGGAACCAAATTCATTATTTACATTTCCAACAAGATCTGGAAGATCATATTAATGAAACATTGATGTTACATCTTCTCTTAAAAAATCTACTCCTAATGGTGGTGTTCTACATGATCATCTTGTTCTAATCAGAGTGAACCTGATGAAAATGGAAAGTATGGAGTCAATGTAAAGGGGAATATGATCAGAAGATGTCTGTGATCGTGTCCTGAGAAGCACCAGGAACACCTTTGAACTCGGTGACCCTCAATTGAAGAGAAGGCCTGGTTGTATTGATCAGTGTTTGGGACTTTACAGACACATCCATGATTGAGTTGTCCTGCTTATTAAAGCTAACTGTGAGAGACATTCTGGGGAACTCAGGCTTCTAGTTCTACCTATGCTGCATATGATGTAGTGGAAGAAGTGCTAGAAAACGGGACAGACTTCCAGTACATTCTGGAGAAAGCCCCACTAGATAGTGTCCACCAGGATGACCATTTCCTGTGGGAGTCAGTGATCCAGCTAGCCGAGGGATTACCGCTGGAACATTCTGGACACAATTTGATCAGCTTATCAAAAAAAAAACTTGGAATGACAGTGTCTGGTGCCAGGTTACCTTAGAACCTTTCCAAAAATAGATACAGAGATAGTTTGCCTCATGATACTACATGGATTATTTTAAAAGGTAATGAAGACTACATCAGTGCAATTCCAGCATTGTAAGTCAGAACAGTGCTTGTCAAGGGGCGTTACCACACACTTGAACAGATTTTTGGCAGATGACTTAGGAACAAGTCTTCTCTATGGTTGTAATGTTGACCACACAAGTTGAATGTGGCAGAGTTAAATGACCCCAATATTGGCCAGAACCCACAGGAAGTTCATCCTATGGATGCTACCAAGCCTTCTGCCACTCAGAAGAAGGAAGCACTGCCTTTATCTTCAGGAAGATCACACTGCTGTTTAACCAAGAGAAAAATGAGAGAGTCATCAGTCACTCAGATCCAGTACAGAGGTTGGCCTGACCATGGAGACCCTGATGATTCAATGACTTTCTGGATTTTGTTTTTCATGTGCAAAATAAGAGGGCTGGCAAGGAAAAACTCCTTGTTGTTTCTTGCAGTGCCAGAGTTGGAAGAACCAGCATTCTTATTACTATGGAAACAGCCATGTGTCTCATTGAATGCAGTCAGCCAGTTTGTTCACTAGACATGGTAAGAACAATGAGAGAGCAGTGAGCCGTGATGGTCCAAACACCTAGTCATTACAGTTTTGCGTGTGAAGTACTATTTTGAAAGCTTATGAAGAAGGTTTTGCTAAAGAAAGCAAAAGGAAAAAAAGAACTTTGTCATCTGTTAGGTTCCATTTATTGCATGATAATTGTGTTTGTATTGATTATCGGGCAAGTAGCTGTTCGCTATTTTGATCTTATTTCAGAAGGGCATAATAATTTTACTATTCAATGAAACGTTTTAAACTGGGTAGAAAAAGACTATAGTTTTTGTATGCTTTACAGCAGAACTCTTATAAATTGGTGGTATATTTCATTGGCATAAAAATACATTTAAAAGTTGAAGTAATTATATAAACAGTGTAAATTGTATATGTAATCTTATTCAAATTGAAATTCTTTATGGCTGTACTTCTATGTAATCAAAGACTTTGTGGGGAGAGACAGACTAGCTAGCTATTTCTCTTGTCCGTTAATCACTTAACACAGTTTTGAATAAAAAGTTCTGTTTCATTGGATAATACTAATGACAGTTTAACATATTTTAGATGGTTACTATGTTCTAGGCGTTGTGTGAAGTAGTTTACATAGTTTCACTTATTTCACTGCAATCCTAGGAGTAGTTACTATTATTACACTCATTTTACAGGCAAAGAAATAGGTCTGGAGAGGTTGGATGTTTTGCCCAAGTTCTCATCATAAGGTGACGGATGAGGATTCTAATTCAAGTCTTAATTCAAGTCTAGTACTTTAGAACCCACCTCTTAGTGGCTGTCATGTTACAGTATAGGGGAGAGCAGACTGTTCCTTTACCCTCGTAGGGTAGCTAGGGCTTGTGAATTAAGAGATTAAGAGACAGATGAACAGGAGTAGAGGCATACACATTTTATTGATGTTAGTGTTTTTACATGCACAGGGAAGGAGGGGTTATTTTTATTTTTATCTTTATTTTAAAGAGACGGGGGTCTTGCTGTGTTGCCAGGGCTGGACTCAAACTCCTGAACTCAAGCGATTCTTCTGTTTGAGCTTCCTGAGTAGCAGGGACTGTAGTTGTGCCCTTCTGTGCTTGGCTAAAGAACGGGTTTGTATGTGATTTTTAACAAAGGCTGATAAATTGTGAAGTGACTAGTCTAAGGAGAAGAGGATTTCAGCTCCCGGGGTGGTAAATTGTGGGAAAATGACTAGGAAATGTATGGTAATAAGGTTTGCTATGCAGGTTTATTTTGCCAGTTTCTGGTCTCCTAATAAGGGACAGGAAAACACCTTTACAGATGGAAATTCATATGACCTTTCCACAGGGAAATTATGTCCTGCCTTAGGCAGTTAGGGAGAGGGCAGGGAACTCTTCCTGTATCTGCTGTGTCTCAGCTGCCTTCAGCTCAAAGTAATCCTAATGCCAAAGTAGCATATTTGGGTGTGGAATATTCTCCGATTCCTTTCAACAGCATCATCTATACTTAACAACAGTGCAAGTTTTTTTTTAAAAAATCATGTTTCAGGTTTTGCACGTGGAAGGCAAATGGACGTTATTGAGATAAATGAAGAATATATATTTTTTAACAAAGAATGCTATGTATTTATGTCTCTGTGACATTGTGTTTTGGAGGCTAAGGTGTTAAGCATGTGATTACTTTAAATTCCGTATTACTACCTGTTTTTAAGATTAAAAAAGAGTCATTAGGCAGTTTATGTATCATGAGAGCAAATTAAAAACAACATAAATGTGATCAAGGTGAGGTGAAACTAGTCCACTTCTAATTCAGGCCTTCTTGTGAAAGCCAGTTTGTGCAAGATAAGTAAGTTTGTTTGATGAAAACAGAATAACTAGTTTGTCAGTTGTGATGAAGATAGATAGTTATTCAGAAACATTTTTATTGGCTACCTCTGAATTAATAAATGAAAAGAAATTATTTTTTTTCTGTAGGGGATGTCTGATGAGTTCTTAAAAAGTGGATGAACCTAAAATTATGAAGAAGCAATTATAATGAACTTAAAATTACTTAAAGAGTTATGAAAAACAAAAAGAAAAGCCATGTTTTCTTGTGCCTTATTTTGAAGTGGCAAATTATTTGCAGGATACATTTGTAGAGGGAACTAATGTGATTTTAAAAATGAGTACTAGATTTACAGAATGATGCCTTTAAAAGTCACTGGTGCACTTAAATTATTTTATTTATGTTTATTCTGAAACTACCTTTATTTTGAAAATGAGATATAGCTTTACCTACTGGTGACAAAAGTGTAAACAATAATTCTGGAAACGTGTTAAAAACCAGCTTGGTGCTAGGCTCTTGGGGTAGAAAATGTATCAGGCTATTGAGGAGCTCATAGGCCATAAGGGGCTGGGGACTTGTCATTAGGTGTGCAGTGTGTTCTGGATGCTCCTGAAGGAGTGTGGGCAGGTGCGCACCACCATGCCTGGCTAATCTTGTTATATTTCTGTAGAGACAGGGTCTGGCTGTGCTGCCCATGCTGGGTTTGAACTTCTGAGCTTAAGAGATCTTCCCATCCTGCCCCCACTGCCCCCGCCCACCCACTCCACCTCAGCCTCCCAAAGCACTGGGATTGCAGACGTGGGCCACTATGCCTGGCCTGTGCAAAACTTTTAAATCAGTGCATACTCAACGGTCTTGATGCAATTCCGGCTTGTTGGTAAGAGAATGGGGATTTACTCACAAGGCAGCATGTCATTTTTAACTCTGAACAGATCAAACTATTGGTTTTACTCATTTATGCCATCGATAAACTTTATGAATAAAAACTCACTGGGCAAATATTTAAGCATACTACATACATAGCACTGTGCAGTTTCTAAGGAACGTAATGGAAACTTTAGTCACCTCCCTGGCTTCCAGAAGTTTATGTTATCTAGGTGCATTTGTTCGCAAAGTTGTTGGGTTAATTGTCCCTTTCTTTCCTCTCTTTTTGAGATATTAATAAATAGTGTCATGACCAAAAGATAATCCTTATGGACAAGATAGATCTAAAAAGCCTTAGCTAATTTATAATCTTGCATAATCCATGATGACAAGATGCAGAAACAAAAATGTCCTGAATTAAAACCTAGCACCATTAGCAGCCATTTCCTTGTAAGTCTTTACAAGTATACTCCCAGTTTCTTGAAAAATTTATTCTAAAATATGTAAGACACACAAAACAGCAGAAACACTAATATAGGTACATTGAACACCTGTGTACCTACCACCCAGTTTAAAAATAAACTGGCTGGTGGACTGGAAGCCCACTGTGTGCTTCTCACCAGCTCCTCCCTCATGCTGGAAGTTGCCCTTTTGTTGAACTCTGTTCTTGGTGGAGATGGAGTGAGTCCTAATCATGGAACCATGTTTCTCTCATACTTACAGAATAAAGTTTAAATCTTTAGCATGGAATTCAAAAGACTTCTGGCATTCCAGTTCAGAGCCACCCTTCTGGTCTCCTTGCTCCTCCGCCCGACACTCTCCGTGTACCCAACAGGCCTCCAGGGTTACTGCTTCCATTCGTTCTTATTCTCATGAACGTTTTCCTTCATCTCATCTGCCAAAATCCCACCTAATGATCCTCTTGCTCTGCAGTTTACAGTTCTTTAAAATTAAAAAAGGTTGTGTAGCCTTCTAGTTTCCTGAAAAAAGAAAAAACAGATTTTAAACATAACAAAGTACCATATTTTCATAGTATTTGCATTATGTCTCATTACAGTTCCTGTGGACATGTCTGTCTCTTACTAGATTGATTGTAGGCTCTTTGAAGGAAGATTTATGTTATGAACAGTGTTTTATATATTGTTAGCAATCAATAAATGCTTGTTATATTTTTCTCATGAGGATATTGATTATTCTATTTTAATTTATGACCATTAACCTGTCCTATACATAACTGCTTTGTGGACATGAGCAGTTTTGATCTCTGAGGCTCCTGTGAGGAATCTAATTTTTGTTAATCATGGATGGAAATATTCAGAGCATCGTTCATCAGTTTCTTCACATTGTCTTCCTTTGTATATTACAGTATATTACAGATGTTTTAAAATATCAAAGTAATGTGTTTTTTTTGTTTTATTTTTTAGATATTGCTATATGGAGATTTGCCAAAAAATAAAGAAAATATAATATATTTAGCAAATCATCAAAGCACAGGTTTGTATTTCATTTGCATGAAACGTAGGTTTTTCTACAGATGGCACATGGGCATTCAAAATACCATTCTTATATTTAAATGAAGTGGGTTTTTTAAAACATCGATTTTCTGTGCAGATACTACACCTGTTCTTGTATTTTTGTGATTTTACTTTTTGGAAAGTCAGAAACTTGAAAGCTATGAATTTTCCTAAATTTACCTTCTCCCTCTGTTGGATGTAAGTAAGCTATTTTCTTACTTGCTTGGTTTGTTTTTCCTTTGTGTAGTGTATTCATTCTTTTTGTAAGTGATGTTTCTAGAAGTAGCATTGGGTGGAAGTGTAGACATACATTTTACATTTTTGATTGCTAAGCTGCAGAAAGCTGTATTGGCATGTGAGTACTCATTTCCTTACTGTGTTAGTCATTGCTAATGTCTGCACTTCCTTTCCTTCTTCAAATGGGTTTGGTTTAATTCTAGTTTGCTACTGTTCCATCAGAGGAATTGCAGAGGACTGGTCTTCAAAATAGTGCAGTATATACTTTAGGTTAAGATACTTCTAAAAACCTTTGCATTTTTAAGTAATTCTAGAGTCCCAAGAATTTGCAAAACAGTACGTTGTAGTCCCATGACCCTTTCAGCAATATTTTTCCCAATGGTGACATCTTAATATAATTGTAGCACAGTAGCAGGATCAGGAAATTGTCATTGGGTAAGGTACTTTGTAATTCTCCAAATAATTCAGCCCTCCAAGAAATCCCACTTCTTATGTTTTCAAACCTGTAGCTAGCTACTTTTGGTGCATACTTCCTAAATTCCATTTTTATTGCTTTAAAAAATGTTATACCTAGAAGCTCAAAGCTAAAAACAGCCTGATCAATATAGTACTCTTAAGCTAAAAACAACCTGATCAATATAGTACTCTTAAGGGAAATCACTTATGCCTGTGACTTTTTTTAAATTTTCTTTCTGTCAGCTGTCTCTTCATGATTTTGTGGTTTTTATTACTACTTATACCATAGATGAGGTATAGAAAGTATAAAAAGTTAAAGTGCATTTTTCTCAATTTAGTGAAGTAATGATTACATTCAGATTTATAGGACAAGAGTTGAAGCTACAAGGGGTTGATAGGAATTTTGATGTATCTGTGTATTTTCCCCAACTTTATTATGTGACTGGTTCAGACTGTTTTATCTAATTACATTTCACTCTCGGCAAAAATAGCAAAACAGTCAACCAATGGTCAGTGCTGCTGAGAACTCTGGTCTGTGCCGACATATTGGCCGTTTTACTTCTAACACCATTCTACTGTTCCTGTCCTGCCGCTGACGGATGTTTCTACCAGGTTTCAAATATCAGATAAAAGGGATCCGTGGGCCCAGTACAGGGAGTGGCTCTTGATAGCTTTGATTTTCCTACATTTCCTTTATATTGATCCAGTGTTAATTTCGTGTAGAGTTGTCTTTCTGTTTAACAGGATTCTCTTAAAATTCTTTCTTCAGTTTCCCTGCCAGCTTTTCTTTGTCCAGGTTTCAGTGTAAACTCCACTCGATTAACAGAGCTCTCTAGTAGTGACTCGTGGAGTAAGTTCTCTGAACATTTCTGGAAGTGTTGCTGATAGTGATAATAATGATAACTACTACTGTTAATTCGTATGCTTACTACATGTTGGCTTTTATATATATTCCTTCAGATTGAGGACTTCTAGAAAACATCTATGAAAAAACAGATTAAAAAACAAAAACAGAAAACAATTCTACTTGTATTTGGGACCAGAGGTACTATGGGAAGGATAATCTTCATCCTCAGACCACACTGACCTGAATTTCATTTATCAGTTTAGAGAACCACTTCCCCTTCCCTTCACCCTAGCTCCAAGTGCCTGTGACTTTGTATCACTGCTCTGGCACCAGATCCTGATCCCAGCAGGATTTGAGAAGGCTGCTTTTTGAAAGCCTTCCTTTTAAAATTCGATAACTTGGGAAAATACTAGGTGAGTGATTTTAAATTTCTTTAGAATTACAGGCTTTAGTCAGTATATGACAGAGCCTTTTCCTAGAAAAAAATGTGCATATAAAAATGTGTATGTAGTTTTAGGGTTTCAGAGAGCCCTAAAGCCTAGCCACAGATGTGGTTCATTGTCTGATCGTGTTTAGGTACCCTGGTAAAACCCTTCTGAGATGTTAGGAATCACAGCAGAGTATCTCTGAAAATGTAATTAGCAGAGAGAACATTTCAAAGACTGCTGTTCTGCTTAGACTTTCTTGTTTGTCTTCTGCCAGGCTTGCCAGAATAAATGAGTTTCCTGGCCTGATACTCAAAAGAATTAACATTTAAATTAGTCTCTCTCTTCCCTTGTTTTTACTTGACACATCCTTGTCTCTACATTCTGTCTCTGTCTCTGTTAACTCATTTCTCTCTGGAGTCAGCAGGATACAGTGACTGTTATTCCTTCCCCTTATCCTTCAACAATCTACTTTTGATACTAGTTGCCAATTTTTTCTTTTTCTTTTTTTTTTTTTTTGAGACAGAGTTTCGCTCTTGTTGCCCAGGCTGGAGTACAATGGTGCGATCTCGGCTCACTGCAACCTTCACCTCCCGGGTTCAAGCCATTCTCCTGCCTTAGCCTGCCGAGTAGCTGGGATTACAGGCATGCACCACCACACCTGGCTAATTTTGTATTTTCAGTAGAGATGGGGTCTCACCATGTTGGTCAGGCTGGTCTTGAACTCCTGACCTCAGGTGATCTGCCTGCCTTGGCCTCCCAAAGTGCAGGGATTACAGGCGTGAGCCACTGCTCCCCGCCTACTATTTGCCTTTTTATTCTCATGAAATGTTCCCTTTTCTTGGTTTAAGTGTCCATTTTCTTATTGAACAGCATGGTGAGTAGAATATTATAAAAAGGCACGGACTTTGGAGTCAGAGAGATCCAGGTTCCTGTTTGACATTGCAGAAATGCTGTTCTGCAGCAGGCTGTGTGTCAGTGGGCAAATTACTTCTCTCTCAGAGCCTTATTGGTAAGGCGTGAGTGCTGGCTCCTTTAGGCCCTTTACAGAGGCTATCTCCTAATCCTGGTAGAGTACCTGGCTCATAGATGGCATTTAAAAGTGGTTGTGATGCCAGTCATAGCTCACCATTAGCATAACACTGGATCCATGGTAGGGAAGCGCTGCACATGCAGTATCTCTTAAGACTACACAGGGCCCTCATGAATTAGGAACTGCTCTTTCATGACGATAGGGATGAGGAAATTAGACTTGCTGCCTCTCACCGCCTTCCACTCCTCTCCTCCAAGTTAACGGGAACATTGACACTGCTTTGGGTTGATCGCCATGGAAGAGTCTCACATAGCCAAATTTATTGCTATCTTAAATTATGCCAGAACACAAAATATGAATAGTTATTGTCAAAGTAATATAATCTCAACTGTAACTGAGATAGTCAGAAACTATCTGTAATCTGGTGTCCTATCTGAAACATAGCTGAGAATAAACAAGAAATAAAGATGATTCAGTAGCAAATATTGGTGGCGCAAAGCTTGTATATTTTGACTACTTAAGCTAGTTGTTAAATGTTTCCACTAAAATTTTCAAGTTTAAGAGCATAGCCCAGGGCAGCTTATTATGAACATGACGTACCTTGAAAATCTTATACTTTCTCTTAAAAGTTCTTGGGAGGGGCATCTGAGGCCATAATATAACCATAAACCCGTTTGTTTTAAAATAAAATCCATTTTTAAAATTCTTCCAAATTAAAAAAAATAATTGTTGCAGGAAAAGATGCTAAACCTGGTTTTTAACTTTGTACCCCAACTATATTTCCAAGATGTGCTTTAGCCTGGGAACCATACAGAACCATACAGAATTAGTTCTCAATTTCGTCATTTTATTGACTGCTTACTTTTGCATTTGGTACAGGTATAACGGGATTGATTATGTGGTTTCTAAGACATGACTAGAAGGAAATATGTTTATCAGTTATTATTTGTTTGCTCTAAATTAGAAGGGGCTAGGGAGAGGGCTTCAACAGGAAATTATATACTTTAGAGAAACGTGATCATTGATAGCCCAATAGTGTAGATATCTCAACCCAGTAACACAGGTGGTGTCTGTCTCTGGGATCATACCCTGTAGGGGAGCATCTTTGCAAGCAACATTCTACTTTTAGGAAGCCATAACAAAAGTTTCATATATATAATAATTGTAAGTCTTCAGTCATCAAGAAAAAGTTAACTTGTGAATGATAATCCCTGATTAAAAAGAGATGTATAATAATTGCTAAGACATTTTTCTGGGTTAATTTTTAGTATTAAAATGGCTAAATCTTCTTTGGGATATTCTGACTAGTATGGTGCATTGTCTAACGGATTTCACATAGGTGAGAGCTAATCATCCTGTAATCTGTGGAAAACTGTCCTCTTTGGCTAAAACTTTATTGTAATTCCTTTAAATCCTCAGCTTTTATTTTCTACAGATTTTTTTTTTTAAAAACATTTCCTTCCTGTGACTCACTCCTTTTGTTCTCATTTTGTGGCCTGAGGACATGGGTGATGCTAGAACTGTTGTTTTCACAGATTCTTAACGATTTTCTTTTCAAGTATCAATTGAGCTCGTGTGTGTATTAACTAGAGAAGTCTCCCTTACATTTCATTCTTACATGTTTTCTTTCTCATCAAGAAATAGAGTAGTTTGTAGCCATTTACTTTCAAATCTAAGTTTCTGTGGTTCTTAAGACCTTTATCATTTGTCTTCTTAATTTCACTTCATTTCCTCTTTAAACCGTGTCCTCTGTTTCCCATCTTCTGCACCCACATTGCCGCTTCCTGTTTGTTTTATTGGCAAGGGCCACTCTCTGTGTTGGGAATTTTTTCTTTTTGAAAGCTCAACTAACAACTTCTAGGAAGTTTTTTGTTGCTGCTGTTATCAACTCATACCATCTTACCCTTGTTTTTGCAACCCTTTGTTAATAACATATTTATTTAACTGTAATTATTAGCAGCCTGGGATCGTTTTACTTGGTTACATAAAGAACGCATATATCTACCCAGCACTATTGTAAGGCATGTGAGACCTTTGTTTGATTGCTGTCCTAACCTAGTACCAAGTCCTAAAAACTCATTAGTAAAAGATAAACTGTCCTTGCCTTTTGCCGAACATACATACACACACATAGAATATTTAGTTGCAATTCATAGTTTCATTTCGCCATTTTTTGTTTATAATTTCCACTTTCTCGTTTAAAAAAATCTTTGTTTTCTAGGCTTCAGGATTTAGAGAAGCTCATTTTATTCCATATACATGCTGCTGTTGGATTACTTAGGTATTTTGTGACTGTGTTTTATCTTTGAAATAAAAAGCCTTTCAAGAAATGCAAAAAAATCTCAAAAAACAGAAAGTGTATATTTTTAAAATATCTCAGATTGATTTAAAAAAATTTTAAACATCCTAATCCCAGTACTTTTGAAGCACATTCCTAGTACAAGTTGTGAAGAGGTTCATGTATGCACTAACTGGGTCCTGTCCCTGCAGTTGACTGGATTGTTGCTGACATCTTGGCCATCAGGCAGAATGCGCTAGGACATGTGCGCTATGTGCTGAAAGAAGGATTAAAGTGGCTGCCATTGTATGGGTTTTATTTTGCTCAGGTAATTTGTTTCCATGCTTTTCTCTATATATATGTAGTTTATAAATTTTGTTTCGTTTTGTTTTGAGACGGTCGCACTTTGTTGCTCAGGCTGAGTGCAGTGTTGTGAACGCAGCTCACTGCAGCCTTGACCTGTGGGGCTCAAGTGAACCTCCTGCCTCAGCCTCAAGTAGTTGGGACTGTGGGTACCCACCACCATGCCTGGCTAAATTTGTACTTTTTGTAGAGATGGGGTCTCGCTGTGTTGCCCAGGCTGGTCTTGGACTCAAGCAATCTGCCTGCCTCAGCCTCCCCAAATGCTGAGATTATAGTTCAAACTGCCATACCCAACCCTATAAAAATGTTATATTTTAAAATTTAACATGTACTTCATGTAAATGTATAGTTTTTAAAATGGGTTTAATAGTTTATTCTCAATTGAAATAATTTGGTTTGGTATTTTTAGTGGTATGTACTTATATACCTGTCTGATTATCCATATACAGTTTTCCTTCAGCATCTGTGGGGATTGGTTTTAGGACCACCACAGATACCAAAATCTAAAATACAATGCTCAAGACCCTTATATAGAATGGGATAGTATTTGCATATAACCTGTGCACTACTTTAAATCATCTCTAGATTACTTATAATATCTAATACATTATAAATGCCATGTAAATGGTTGTTATACTTTATTTTTATTTGTATTATTTTCATTGTATTATTTTTTATTTTTATTCACATATTTTTGATCTGTGATTTGTTGAATCTGCAGATGTGGAACACATGGATATGAAGGACCAGCAGCAGTAATGAAAGAGCAAAAATGCAAATGTACAAAGATCAAACAAATAGGAAATTTAAAGGCATAGAATTTGATACGCAATTACATTAAACTATTGATAACAGTAATTAGTGATCTGTATGATATTTTTTAAAAAGCTGTATATATAAAACTTATTTTCTCCAGTTCTGGAGGCTAGACATCCAAGGTGTTGACGGGATTAGTTTCTCCCAAGGTCTCTCTCCCTGGCTTGCAGACAGCAGCCTTCTTCCTGTGTCTTCATGTGGTTTTTTTCCCTGTGCCCAAGCACCCCTGGCATTGCTTCCTCCTCTTAGAAGGACTAATCACACTGGATGACTAATCCTTCTACAGAGACTTGTGAGGTCCCACTCTGAGGCCCCTTTTTAACCTTAATTACCACCTGTAAGTCCCTCTCTCTGAATACAGTCACAGTGGGAACTATTAGGGCTTTAGTAGACTGACTTGGGGGAACACAGTTCTGTCCATAACAATGCCACAGAAATATCTGTAGCAGGATTGATTTTTTAAAATCCCTAAAGATCGTGAGTATTGACATTTTAAGGACGCTTTTTAGTGACTCCATAATAAGTGGGTGGAAGAATTGGGAGTTAAATCCATCTGATTGATCAGGTTTTTTTATTTTAAAAAACGTATATTTAAGAAAGAAAGCATTTTCATTTTAACTGCCAACAAAATTAAGTTCATGTATTTTCCAATACAGTGTCACATGCAGTTTTTTTGAATTATGTTGAGACAAGGTAATTTTTCAGCTAAATGTTCTGTAGAAGCTAATATTTGAAGACATTAAATATAGATTAAATTCTGAAATGTAGTTTATATTCTGTACTTTTTGAAAGAAAAGTTGCCTTTTTGATGACTCTGGCCAATCATTATTTAAAAAGTAAAACTTCTTTCTCCCAATTTTATTGTGGCAGCATGGAGGAATCTATGTAAAGCGAAGTGCCAAATTTAATGAGAAAGAGATGCGAAACAAGTTGCAGAGCTATGTGAACGCAGGAACTCCAGTAAGAACCTACCCGGTTTTATTTTTCTTACCAGCTCTCAGTTTCTAAATTTAAGAATTAAATTAAAATCTAAGAATTGTTTTGAAAATATATTTTCCCATGTGTAATTACTAATTCAGAGTTACGCTGAGGTAACAGAAACCCTCTAAGTACAGGTAAGCAGGTTTTTCAGCCATCAGAAAGATTGTTGTAAACAACTAGGTCCTTTGCTGGTCAGTGGACCTTAAAGAGGAATAAAAAGAGCATTTGGTGTCTTTCAGAGTCTATAAATAGAACTAACTGCATTTTAACCTGACATTTAAGCTACTTTAAGAGCTCATCTTACTTCTTGTCTTCTTTACTATCAGATTTAGTTTTAGAAGCAGCAACTGTTTTCTGTTAGTGGAAATTTGGAATGTCTTACATATACAGAAAAACCAAAAAAGATGAATCTCTATACAAATGTCAAATCATTCAGTGGAAATAATATTTTATAAAACTTTATTCCACAAAAATGGGGAGAGTTCAATCTGCTATGTGTAGAATGCTGATTGCTGCCAATGGCTTTTCCCCTGGTTCCCGCCTAAGACAAAGCATCACGCTTACCAGGACTACTTGGGCTTTCTCTTTCGGTGCATGACAGCATGACATGTGCTCAGAAGCTTAGCTCACGTGCACAGGCCTTCCTCTTCTTTTCTGGCTCCCTCCCTCTGTCTTCCCTCCTCTCCTCTTGCCCTCCCCTCACTAGGGGTCCTGGGCAGCAGCTAGAGCTCATGGTAAAGGAAGAGTTCTTCACGGTCAGCTGGTAAAGTGCCCGATGCAAGCACTATTTATTCACATGCCTCTTCTAGGTGTTCGTTCTTCACAGTCAGCTGGTAAAGTGCCCGGTGTGAGCATTGTTTATTCACATGCCTCTTCTAGGTGTTTTTGTATTAGGACATTGCATCCTGTTCTGGGCATGTGTGGGGTGACAGAAGCAGAATGGAATGAGATGAACAGTGACCCTTTATCCTGTTATAGCTCACCCTTGAGAACCAAGCTTGGTGTTTTCAAAGGGTCTGTTTAGTCTGAAACAGTGTGGTGAATTTGGGCAGAATTGTGGTCATTGTATGTAGGTCTCCGAAAGACAGAATAAGTTGGTAATACGGTTTATCGACTTTTTACAAAAAAATTAAAATTTAAAAATCACGAATTTATACCTTAAAGTGTCCATCCCACTTCTCTCCCAGCTGTGCAGTCACCCCAGCCATGGATGACTGCTGTGGAGTTTCTTGTGTCCTGCTGTGGGCATTGTATATATGAAGCAAATGAAGATAGCTGCCTGTTGGGTGATGTCGGCATTCTATGCACAGTGGTCCCTTGCTTTTTTGCCCCTGCGAATATAGCTGTCAGTGGCAGTAGGGCTGAAAAAATCAGCTCTGTACACTTGGCATGTGTCTGTTTCTCCAGCTGCCTTCATGAGTTTCGTCTTGTTTTTGGTTTGCAGCAGTTTAAGTATCATATATCTGAGTGTCATTTAAAAAATTTTACCTGGATTGGTCCTCTGAGCTTGGATCATGATTTGGTGTCTGTTATTAATTTTGGAAATTTCTTTACTCTTGTTTCTTTAAATATTATTCCTACCGCAGTCTTTCTTCTCCAGTTATGTTTGTGTTGGCTCATTTGTCACTGTTCTTTAGTTCTTAGATGCATTATTCATTGTTTTAAAAAAATTTTTTTTACACCCCCTTCCCTTTTTTCTTTTTTTGTTACAGTTTGGATGATTTCTGTTGACCCACCTTTGAGTTCACAGATTCTTCCTTTGGCTGTGTTGAGTCTACTGGTGAGCCAGTTGAAGGCACTCTTCATCTCTGCTACTGCGTGTTTCATTCCTCACATTTCCCTTCGACCCTGTTTCATAGTTTCCATCTCTGTGCTAGAATATCTATCTGATCATAAAGCTTAATCACTTTTTCCACTTGAACCTTTATCATTTTATTATACTTGCGGTTCTCTTAAATTCCCTGCTTGATAATTCCAACATCTGGGCCATGTCTGAGTCTGGAAATTTTGATTGCTTTGTCTCTTCAGATTGTGCTTTATCTTGCCTTTGTCACACTTCCTAAGATTGTGCCGAACGCTAGGGCTTTTTTGTAAGACAGTAGAAATGGAGGCAAGGTGTCTTGATACCTGGAAATGGATAGACTTGTCTTTCTGCTCAGCCTTTGGTGTTGAGGAGTTGAGTCAGTCCACTCAGGAGGTGCACTGGATTTGGGTTTTGCTCATGTGCTTTTTCTCACGCTTCAGGTTTCTATAGCTGCATTACTTTGTGTGTAGGCTGGGGACGTCCTCCCGATAGAGCTTTTCCTCAGTGTCTGTTTCACACTCAGCATTTTCACATGGCACCTCGGAGTGGCTCTCCTCTTTGTGCCTTTCCCCACTGTACTTCTCTGATACTTGTTACTGAACTCTCGCTAGTTCGGTGGTAGAAGGAGAAGGAAGGGAAGTGTCTTTATTCTTAGGGAGAATCTCAGGGGTGGAGCCTACTCTGCTCCTGCCTTGCTTCTGGCTGTAAGTCTTTCCCAGGATGTATTCCTGCCTTCACTAAGAGTTTTTCCCTGTTCTCTTTGCCCAGCCTCATCGAGTATTCATCCGTGCCCCAAGGGTAGCAGGGTTTTGTTGCCCCTGTTCGTCAGTTTCCGGCTGCTGTTCCATAGGAAACGTACAGAGAAGGATGTGGGCTGGGCCCTGAGCCTTTCCCACAGGGCTGCTGTTCCATCCCGCAAGCCTACATCAAGTCTTCCCTGACCCCAGTGTGTTTTCCTATTTCTTTATCTTGTGAGTACACAGGAGGTCTGTGGGTCAAGCCTGTAAATTGTGCTGCATTCTCCTTGTGTCTGTAGCCCAGGGGTTCATCTGTTCCACCAGCTTATGCTTGGCTTTCTGCACAATTGTTAAAATTTTTAGCTAAGTGTTAGCATTGGCCCCCAAGTAAACAAGCACTTGCATCTTGTTTCTCCTTTGAGTTTTCTGTCTTTCCTTAGACTTTTGGATTAATTGGTTGCCTTGCAACCTTTCGGCTCTCTGAAGGATCTGAGAAAAGTCATGAATCTACAGTTTGTCAGTGTTGTTGTTGCTGTAGGGTTGGGAGTAGTATTCCTTCAGCATTCTACATACTTCATGGAAGCCTCCTCTCATTTTTGGTTAATAAATTTCAAAACTTGGAACAATGTTAGATTTACAGAAACGTCAGAAAGAACAGAGTGTTCCCATTTATTTATTCTTTATCTAGCTTTTTTTTTTTTTTTTTTTTTTTGAGTTGGAGTCTCGGTCTGTCACCCAGGCTGGAGTGCAGTGGCACGATCTTGGCTCACTGCAACCTCTGCCTCCTGGGTTCAAGCAATTCTCCTGTCTGATACTTCTGAGTAGCTGGGATTACAGGCATGTGTGACGATGCCCGGCTAAATTTTGTATTTTTAGTAGAGACAGGACTTCACCATGTTGGCCAGGCTGGTCTCGGACTCCTGACCTCGTGATCTACCAGCCTCAGCCTTCCACAGTGCTGGGATTACAGGCGTGAGCCACCACGCCCAGCCTTCTTCATCTAGCTTTAACATCTAATGTTGACATCTTACATAACATGGTATATATTTGTCAAAACTAAGAAATAAACATTGGTACCACACTGTTAATTGTACTACAGATTTTTATTCAGACTTTACCGGATTTTCCACGAATGTCCTTTTTCTGTTCTAAAATACAATCCAGAATAGATACAAATCTATTCACCTTCAGTGTTTTAAATTTATTGTTTTTCATTATATGAAGTGCTGTATGGTTTTTGTCAAATCTGTTATTTTGGTTTTAATCTTCAAGCTTGTCTTTGTTTCTTTAAGTGTTAAAGGCATAATTTAAAAGGTGTATAGATGTGTTGGGTTATTTCAGTGCCTAAAGTCCTGTCTGAGTCTGTTGTTTTTTGCTGGTTCTTGCTCATGGTACTTTCTTTCCTTGTTTGCTCTGTTATCTTCCTTTGCTTCTGGCTGTATTTGGTAAGTTATTTGTGGAAATCAGTTGAAGCCTCAGGTGGGAGTGTCTTTCTCCAGAGAACATTTCTGCCTGTTTTAGCTGGGCTGCTTCAGGCTCCTCTAGTGTGGGCCCTACCCAAACCAAATTCTGAGTTGAAGGCGAACTGAGCCATTCAGGCAGTGCGACCAGGGTTGTAGATGCACAGGAGACCTGCTCACCTCTCATTTACTTTCACCCTGAGAGTGGAGCCTTTGGTGTTTCCTTCTGATTCTCTCTTCACATTTATATTGGAAGGTCTGTGGGCTTTGGTTTCTGTTCCCCTCATCTTCTGAGTCTTGTAAAACAAAGTTCTGTTTTATGCTTACTTCTGCTTTACTGTGTTTGCTTAATTTCGGTCTTAACATCTTGCCAACTCTTGGGTACTTTTAAAATAATGTTATATCCAGCTTTTTAAGTTGTTTTCAGTAGGAAGCTTGGTTCAAATAACCTAGTCTGTTATGGGCTACCAGAATAGCCTTCCTGTTTTTTGTGGGCAAAATTCCAGCCTTTTATGTTCCTAGTGCAGTATGGACAACAGACTGGCAGGTTCAAGAGGCAGTGCTGAGCAGCTATCACTGTAAGGTCACCGTCTCAGGTGGGGTTTCTAAGAATCTGGATGGTTGTTTCATTTCTTAATATGTACGCCGTGTGAGAGCAGGTACATCTTACTCAGGTTCTTGATGATTCTTTTCTTTCTGAAGGTGGATTAAGTAAGTGACATGGTAGAATATGTTAAGCCAGTTTTCATGTGGCTTAATAGTTCTAGTGAATCTACTTCATGATTATATCAGCTCTTATTTGGTATTAGTATTTAAGAAATGCAGAATTTTGTTTCAAAAATTATATTTGTATTATAAATTGTGAAGAAATACATCTCCATAATTATTGCTGGGACAATGCAGTATTTTATTAAGGTACTTATTGGTTGTGTATGCAAATGAAGCATACTTATGATAAAAATGACTAATAGAAGTCATTTTGTTAGAATATGAGCTAGTAAAACTTACGGCACAAATATGGAGACTTACACTTCTTCTTCCAGCTTTCACTTAAGGTCCTTTTCAGATAAGAGGCAGCCTGGTGGATAAGAGTATTGGTTTTGAAATTAGATTAATGTTTAAATCCCAGAGCTGCTGTTTAATCTTTATTTTATTTCAGGTAGATTTTCTGGATAACTTGCTATAGCTTATACATCAGTACTTGCCACTTCAATTTTATGTTATGAAGAGATGACTTCCTTCCTTAAACCTCACGAACCAACCTCTGCTAGCTTCTGACTTTTTTTCTGTCACTTCCTTACCTCTCTCAGCCTTCAGAGAATTAACTGGAGTTAGGGCCTTGCTCTGGATTAGGATTTGCCTTAAGGGAATGTTGTGGCTGTTTGATGTTTTATCTAGAGCACTCAAACTTTCTCGTTTTCAGCAATAAGGCTGTTTTGCTTTCTAATCATTCTTGTGTTCAATGAAGTGGCACTTTTAATTCTCTTTAAGAACTTTTTCTTTGCATCCGCAACTTGGCTGTTTGGTGCAAAGGGCCTAGCTTTTGGCCCGCCTTGGCTTTCAACATAGCTTCCTCACTAAGCCGTTTCTAGCTATTGATGTAAAATGAGAGACATGCGACTCTTCCTTTCACTGAAACGCTTAGTGGCCATTATAGGGTTATTAATTGGCCTAATTTCAATGTTGTTGTATCTCAGGGAATAGGGAAGCCCAAGGGGCGGCAGAGAGAAAGAGAGACAGGGGAATGGGCCATCAGTGGAGCAGTCAGAACACACACGACATGTATCAATTAAATTTGTCATCTTATATGGGTGCAATTCATGCCACCCCCAAACAATTACAATAGTAACATCAGAGATCACAGATCACAATAACAGATATAATAATATGAAATATTGTGAGAATTACTAAAATATGCCACAGAGATGTGCGGTGAGCACATACTGTTGGAAAAATGGCACCAGTAGACTTGCTCCATGCAAGGTTGTCATAAACCTTCAACGGGAAAAAATGCAATTTCTGTGAAGCTCAGTAAAGTGAAGCATGATAAAATGAGGTGAGCCTGTCGCTCCTAAGAATGTTCCTGTACAAGGTTTTTGCATCTGTTACTTGATTTTTCCTATTTATAAATAGTATCTTTTTTGAGAACATATTTTTTTATTTTTATAAATTTATATGTATCTTTTGAAGAACATACTTTTAAGCTTCATTTATAGATTTTTTTTTCTCTCATAATTTCCACTTTTTATATCCTATTTAAGAAGTCCTTGCCAAACTCCAGGTTGCTAAGATTTTCTCCTTCGTTTTCTTCTGGAAATTTTAGAGTTTTGCTTTTACATTTAGTTCTAGGATTTATTTCTAATTAATATTTTTATATGGTATAAGGTCGAAGTTTATATTTTTTAAATATAGATAACCGTCACTATAGAAAAGATTATTTTCCCCCAATGTTTGAAATAAGTAGACTGAATATAGATGGGTCTGTTATCCCTAGATCAGTGGACTATTTGTTCTGTTATGTTGATCTGTATGTGTATCCTTATGCCAATACCATACTGTCTTAATAATGCTTGCTTTGTAATAAATTTTTAAATACTGTAGTCGTCTTCTAAATTTGTTCTTTCTTTTCAAAGTTGTTTGGGCTATGTTAGGTTATTTGCATTTCTATATGAATTACCGAATTAGCTTGACAGTTTCTACCCAAAGTTTGTGGGCTTTTCATTTTGATTATATTGAAGGTATAGATGAATTTGGGAAGAATTGATATAACAGGACTGAATCTTTGGGTTCATGAACATAACCTGCATTTGTTTACTTATTTCTTTATTTATCTCATTGTGTTTTGTAGTTTAATGTACAGATTTGCACATCTGTTGCCAGATATATCCCTAAGAATTTTAGTTTTTGATGCTATTGTAGAAGACATTTAAAAAATTTTTCAAGTTTTTGATCGTTGACCTAGGCATATAATTTTTTAATATACCAACCTTGCTAAACTTAATCATTATCTAGTAACTTAAAAAAGATATTCCTTAGGATTTCCTACATAAACAGTCACGTCATTGTTATAGAAATAACAGTTTTACTTTGTCCTTTTTAGTCTTGATGGCTTTTATTTCTTTTTCTTGCCAAATTTTCTGGCTAGACCTCCTAGTACAGCGTTGAGTAGAACTGGTGTGAGGGAAATCCTTTCCATATTCCTCATCTTTAGGGAAAAGCATTCATTCTTTTACCCATTCTTTAGGTCCTAGCCCCATTGCCCTTCCTAAATTTCTTCTCATCATTTTCCTTCATCACACCTTGTTCTTTTTCTTTGCAATCATATCATGATATGTACCTACATGTTTTTATTAGTCTGTTTAATGTATTTCTTTTCCTTACCTGTCCATGAAGGGAGGGACCGTATGTGTTGTTATCCTGTGTGCAGTTTCTGTAACATAATAAGTTTATAAGAAATAGTTTCCGAATTAGCTCTGAATGAATTCATGCTTTCTTGTTGTCTGTCAATGTTCTTTTAAATTAAACATCAAGACACAGCAAATAATACCACATGAGTTGTTAACCTTTGAAAGAATCGTTTTATTTATAAATGATTGAGTTAAAAGCTGATAGCCCACAGTAGTTGCTTTCATGGCTTTGAATATAAACCTTACTGATACAAAATACATTTTCATGAAAATGAATGTGTGGTTTTTAGAACTAGCTTTAATGTTTGTCTTCCCGTTTTTCCTTCTAGTTACTGGACTATAATAAGGAATTTTGTATTTTTTTCCTAATTTTACCCATTTTTCTACATTTTCTTAACAGATCTGATCAATCTTCATTATTAAAGATACATATAATATCTGTTAATTTCTAAGTCAGGCGTGGATGCTGAGACTATTACATGAATGAACAAAAAGCTCACATATTTGCGTGGAAGCTGAAAGTACAACATTTTCAGATACCATTATACCAGTATCTAAAGAAAAAACTCAGTCCCACGTAGGTTTTTCAGTAGGAACTTTATCATCAGAGGCCATCCAGATGAAGGAAGGCTTCTGTACCAGATGTACAGAGGTAGACAGTATTGTCTGAGTACCGTCTGAGATCTGGCAAGAATGGATCCAATGAACATAGTTTTCTCCCATGAGCTCCTGTCTTGTTGTCTGTATTCTGTGTGTATCTGAAAAGATTTAGTATGCATATCTTATTTTTGTCTTTCAGCTGTCAATCAAAGTTATTAGTGTAGATTTTGTAACTCGGTTCTCAAGTTAGGAGTTTTTGCTGTATAATTTTAATGTTTCTGTTTTTACTTTCCTAAGCAGATAAGTGTAAAAACTTAGACTAACTGATTACTTATTAAACATCCAGCTTGATATTCTTCTTTATATTATTTTAGTTTCAGTTTATATAACAAATGAGGTTACTTATAAATAAAATTTTAAATGCACTAAAGGAGCTATGTAAAATAGGAATTTCGTGTGAAGCTTTTGAATGTGAACATTTTGAACCTTTTACATGGTGGGAATTTAGTATATGATTTTCCTCAAATGAGGTACTTTTTAGTGTTGGTACTTAAGGATACTGATTTCTAAAATTTATATTTCTAAAAAATGACATATTACAGGATCTCAAAGGGAAAAAAGTCATTGAGGCTTTGTATGAGTCAGCATTTCATGGCCTATTTTGAGTTAGTGAATTATTAGCATGTAATTAGAAATGTTTTTAGATTCTTCATGGCTGACCTACCAATGAATGTAGCACTGCATTTAAAATATATTTCACTTTATGTTCAGACTTAATTGAATTGTTAAATTTTGTTTGCTCTGCCTGAAATGAAGGTCACATGTAAATAAATATACATTTTCCCCTACTGTAGGAAATACTCTCTTAGCATTAGTAGGTTTAGCTTTTTAAGTTAACAACAATAACAACAACAAAGCTCACACCAAATAAACCAAATTTGCTCTATGTCCCACAGATGTATCTTGTGATTTTTCCAGAAGGTACAAGGTATAATCCAGAGCAAACAAAAGTCCTTTCAGCTAGTCAGGCATTTGCTGCCCAACGTGGTAAGTAAAAATTTGACAGTGTTTGAACAAATAAGATAATAACATTTTTAGTTTTTCTTCCTGGAAAAGATACTTTTGTTTTACAATTGAAAGAATGAATGTATTCATTCCTTGAATTCATGTACATATTATCTCTTAGGAAATGAAGTTTCTTCTCCTTAATTCACTTGCATGCTATTATTACATGTATCTGAGAAATTGAGTTCAAGTGCTTGTTACAATACATATTCTTGTGCCATGGATTTATTTAAAATCTATCTAAGAACATGATTATGTAGATGGAAGCTTTTTCTACAGTGTAGGTTATGTGTAATGGAGCTTCTGTTTTGTAAGTTGACAGACGTAAGTTGGAGTCCAAACTCAGACTTTTATTAGCTGTATGGTTGCACCTTGCAAGTTGTGTAATGTTACTGAGCTTGCTTCTTCATCTCTTAAAAGACCATATGCCTTATAAGTAGATCTAAATCTGTGTGAGAATTAGATTAGAAAATATGTCAAGTTTCTAATGGAGAAGTTACACAAAGTTGGCTCACAGTGCTTGGAAGCTATTAATGCCCTCAACAATGGTAATGTTCTTAATATCCATATTTTAGAAAATTGGATAATTGATACACCAATAAGTTATGCAATTTAACCAAATTGGGAAGTATAGAGAAAACAGTGGCTATGCTGTGTTCTTAGAGGTGTCTTTGAAGCTTGACTGTGATTTAGTATGTGATCTCCAAATGTTGATAGTCACTTACTGAGCAAATACCTTGTTTGTGACATTACGCCAGGGCCTATGACAGTGTCGTCTAATGGAACGTTCTGCAATAATGGTAAAGTTCTTTATCTGTTCTGTCCAGTGTGCTGGCTCCTACCAATGTGGTTTTTGAGCATTCAACATGTAACTAGTGCATGAAATGAATTTTTAATTTTATTTAATTTTAGTTTAATTAAAAATGATAAGGGGGAACTTTTACAAAGTTCTTACAATATGACATCATTTGTAACAGTTCATTTAAAAAATGCCAGTTTGTTTTTAAACACATGTCCTGTTAAGGAGTGGTTCAGAATAGGAGGGTTCAGTTGGTCTCTCAATCTGTCAGCTCTCTTTTGACTTTCACTGCTTCCTCTGTCTAGTAGACATCACGTTCTGTCATTTCAGTTGCTCTTTTGCAACGCCATTATCTCTGTTGCCCTTTTCACATTTATTAAACAGAACAAAACAAAAACCCCTCTCTCTCAAATTTATGTTTTCCTCTTCCTAGCACCCACTTTTCCCCCTTTCCGTAACAGCCAAAGTCTTCTGAATCTGTAGCCTACCTTTGTTGTAAGCACTGTTTTCAGTACTCACTCTGCCCTCAGTTTGTTTTGGTCTGATCTGAAATTCTCTCCCTAGACTTCTGTGGGGCTGTTCTCCTTTATCCTCCCAACTCTCTGGTGCTTACTTCCTAGCCTCCTTTCCAGCCTCTTTCTGCTTCATTTTTCCCTGCTTCATGTGTTACTTCCAGTGTCAGGTTTTGGTCTTTCATTAATTTCACTTTTTGTTTCTCATGGTGGTCTTCCTCTAAATCCATGGCCTTAGCCACTGTTTACTTGACTGCTGATGACTCACAAAAGCTTCCTCCCCTCCATATCTCTCTGCCTAACTCTAGACCCATTTGTACAATTGTCCACTAGAGAGCTTCGCTTGACTGGCCCAAAGGGATGTCTCAAACTCAGCATATTGAAGATAGAATTTATCCTTCCATGCATACACTCATATTTCTCGTCTTGGTAACGCCATCATTCAGTGTTTTTGCCTGAGTTTTATTCACAGAAAGAACAAATTGATAGCAGTTGCATACCTCTTATAGGAAACTTAGACATGGAGGAAGAAGCTGTTCATACGGGGTCTTGCAAAAGTGCAGGCACTGCGGTAATATTTCAGCTTTTCTCAGCTGTACGAAGGGTTTTGTTTTAACTCATTTTCCTTGGTATTGTTTTAGATATTTGGCTTTCTAGTGGTTTTAAGGAATTTGGAATTAAATGTATTTTAATCTACCACCTGAACCCATTAAAGTGAGCCCCTATGGTGTTTTTTTTTTTTTTTTTTAACTGCCATGGTTAAAACCATGGTAGCTAGCGAAGGTGACATACTTAAGCTTTTTGAACTCTCATAATAGAAAACAGAAATTTAATGGTGTGTCTATAATGGCAAACCAGATATCTAGAATTTGCATGTTATTCATAGGATGAATAACACTGGCGATTATAGAGATTCGAGAGTCTTTTCAAAACATGAGAACAAAGGGAATAAGCTACAAAGCAATTTCTTTCTTTGTAGACAACTGAATAAAAATTATTTTTATGTCTCAAACATCATATGAACAAATATAGTTGGCAAATAGCAAGCTAATAATATTTTATAATATAAGATATTAATATACTTAATATTGCAAAAGTGCTTCCTAATTAGTAAGAAAAGACATAAACCAGAAAAATGGGGAAAGGGCATGAATAAGAAATTCAAGATATACAAATGACCCACACACTTGAACAAGTATTTCTTCTTTCTCATAATCAAAAAAGTAGAAATTAAATTAATACTTTGAAGCCAACTTCTGAAAGTCAGCATAGCAAACAAGAAAGCTAGTGCTCAGCTCTGGGTGGTAACGGCACTCTCACCCTTAAGAAGGGGTATTTGCTTCCTATGGCTGCTCTCAGGAATTGCCACAAACTTGGTGGCTTAAAACACCACACATTTCTTCTCTTACAGTTGAGAAGTCTGGAAAGGGTCTCGCTCAGCTGAAATCAAGGTGTTGGCAGGGCTACAGTCCTTTGTGGAGGCTCCTGGGGGGAGGTCCTGTTCTCTTGTGTGGAGTCCTGCGCGTGGCTGAATGCTCTGCTTTCACCACCTTGAAGTTCATCTGGAAATGGCACTGGGTCGCCCACACCATGGAGCTGACTCTGGTTCTCCCTCCTCCTCACTTGCTCTGAACCTGTGTTTTTGGCTCATTTCTAACCTGTCTTGTCTTGGCCCTTCTGCAGCTCTTGTCTGCCCTAGCCCCGGGGTCTGCCCATCCCGATGCTGGGCTGTTCTGTTCCTGCCCTGCCTTTCCTCAGCCCTTGGCAACCCTGTTTGTTTTTTCCCTTCCTTAGCAGTGGAGAACATCATAAGATCAATGCTGACTGCCTTCTGCAGCCAAGCCAGGCCATTTCATTTCAGCTGAGCCAAGTCTGTGCGGAGCAGTTTTTATTTTTCTCCTTTTGACTACTCTTACAGTTTTCATGGCTTTTTTTCCTCCTCACATTCAAGGATTTTTTGCCTTCAGAAAGTTATGTTACTCTGGAAAAAGTGTACCCAGTATCCCTTTTGATTTCAAAATCTTAATGTGGACTCTCTTGACTTGATTTCTTTGGAAGAAACTGCTGAAGCTGCCATGTCTAAGAAGAAAGCTTTGGAGAAAAATTTTCTTCTTAGACATGGCAGCGTCAACAGTTTCTAAGCTCTTGATTCCATCTACCCTATCTCCATCATTGCGTCAGTCATCTGCCTTACTTCTCTACTGGGATTTCTCCCAGCTTGCAAATATACTCCCATTCTGAAATAACTAAGTCTGTAGCTGTGCAAAGAGAAGTTTGGGCCCCTTGCTTTCTTGTATTTGACTCCATCCAGTCTCCAGAAATGTGTCCCACTTCTAACTTACCAGTGACCTCCAAAGCATCATATCATTTGTGTCAGTTGTCATATTTGTTAACTTTCAACATTATTTATAACTTTATAACCAGAAAACAATTTTAACTTTATTGCAGAAATAAACAATGGAGTATTATTTTTCTTTATGAAGATAAATATTACCTCTTCTTCCTTTAAACATTCTCTTCCCTTGGTGTTTGTATTACATTGGTTTTCCCCCTCTTTTTTATTTCCTGGCTTGTCCTATTCCCTGTTATTATTTTTACCTTTTTTTTTTTTAAATGTGGATGTTTCCATAGTCTGTGTTTCTTGCCTTTTCATCTTCTGCCCTTTATTATTCTCAGCCACTGCCATTACTTCAGTTATCCATTCCCACGATTTCCACATGCTTAGCTTTGGTTGATTCTTGCCATTTTACAGACCATATTTCCAACTACTTCTAGAATGTTTTGTTACTTCAGCCTCAGTATGCCCAATTTGAACTCATCTTCTCTCTCCCCCCTTTCTTCCTTCTTTCTTTCACTCTCTCTCCCTTCCTTCTTTTCCTTCCCTTCCTCCCTCCCTTTCTTCCTTCCCTCACTCATTCTCTCTTGCTTGCTTGCTTGCTTTCTCTCCTTCTCTCTTTCTGTTTCCTTTCTTTATTCTCCTCCCTCCCTCCCTTCCTTCTCTCCCCCGCTCCCCAACTCCCAGGCTAAAGCAGTGCTCCTGAGTAGTTAGGACTGCAGACACACACATGCCACGGCGCCCAGCTCAATGTTCTCTTTCTTTCCCTGCCTGCTGCCCTCCCACTTCTCTCTTTGCATGGCAGGTGCGTGCACGCCGGCGTGCTCTGCATGTCTTCCTCCTGGCCGTTCCCTGTCTAGTTACGGTGTGGCCTTGTCTATGCCTTCTGAAGCAGAAGCCTAGTTATTGTTTTTTCTCCTTTTCCCCTGTGACCACGTTCAATCAGTTGCTGATTCAGTATATATTTGGTGTTCACTTTATTACATTTTATCTTTTCAGTTTTCACTGCTTCATTCCTAATTCAGGACTTTGTTGCTTTATAACTGAATGTCCAAAACTCTTTGTGAAACTTAGAACTGTTATTCTTTGCACCTAGATTCAGTCTGTTCTTTGGCCTCCAATCCTTGTGCTCCTACAGATCAGTGTTTATTCCGAAGCTTACAGCAGTGTGACCTGGTGTGTTTGTCACACTTAGCCCCTCCTGCTCTGCACAAGGGCTCCAGAGGCCTCCCGGGTCCCTGCTTCTGTACCTTTGTTCACAAGTCCTTCTGCCCGCCGTTGTGTGTTGTATACCTCCACGTTGGCATCTCTCCAGTGTGCCTTTTCCTGAAGCTTTCACCAATCAGATATGTGTGATTTCAAAAAACTTTGAAGTATGAGTAATATTTTTACATTCTGAGAATATCTTCTATCTCTTTTAAGACATTCTGTCATGTCCTATAGCTATTTAAATTTTTTTATTGCCTCATTAATCTTTAACTGATTTATAGTTTCAGAATAGTATCTTATTAATTATGGCATAGAAAAATACTGAACCAGACATTATAAGGTCTTTCTAGCTGTGTGACTTTGAGCAAGATTTTATCTCTCTGAGCCTCAATTACTTAAATTCTGAGAATCAAGTGAGATAATATATTTTAAATACATTGCAGACTAAATTCTGTATATAAATGTAAAATTCTCTACATGGATCATTAAAGTTTTTTTGTCCAGTGTATTTTCATTTATTTATAATGTTTCCAAAATGTAATACTAACTGCAGAATTTCAATTATACTCAACCAGTACTGCAAATGACCCTTAGGGAGAAACTCAGTCAAAGGGTATGCTAGGCCATCGTTAGCATTAAGTAGAAATTCAGGAGCTCTGGAGAGGGAAACAAGGCAAAGCAGGTATCAGAACAGACACTAGATGGTGACCAGGAAGAAGTAACTGAATAGCTACCACATTTCTCTGTTTGGGCTCAGACCTTTATGTAGTTCCCTGGAAAGTTGTCAGATCTCAATATGGTTGGCTCAAGCTAGAGCAGTTTAATTAAGAATACGTCATTATTTGGGTTTCTCTCTATCGAAATTCTAATTGGCCTCGATATTATTACTATAAAATTGTTTTTGTTTTAACTCTTATCACTGTTGAGAGTTGGTGACCGCTTGGTCAGAGATTGTAAATAATTCCCCGTGTGGACTAGAGTTTATTATGAGCTCTGGTTTAGAAATGGAAAGTGACTTCTGAGTTATCCAAGAAGGGCCAGGTTTTATTTGTTTTAATAGTAAAAGCTTCTCATATTATTCTAACCGTTGGAAATTAATAGACCATTTGTTAATAAATCCAGGAAAGAATTTGCTGTGGTTTATTTTTTTCTCACCTCACATATTGGCACCTCACTGAACCCACTTTTTGAGCTTCAGTTCCCACCACTGCACTGAAAATATCGATCAAGATGTCATGGACCCTCCATTGTGCCTGGGAGTCATGTCTCAGTTCTGGGCCTTTCAAGTGTCTTCCAGCAAATGTGGCTGAGCACTTCACTCTTCCTGAGCTGTTTTCTTCTGGGGCACCTGTGTCACTACCACAGTCCCCTTGTTTTTCTTCATCTTCATTGGCTATTCCTTTTCAAGAGTTGGATACTAAAACCTGGACTATGTAGGATTTGGATTTGATACAGAGAATTTGATATAGAAAATGTTTGAAATAATTGAAGCTATTCCCAGTGTATTCCTTCATTAGAAGATTTTTTTTTAGTTTTGTTTACATATCATTAATGGCTATGATTCATGTCATAAAGCTATTTTTTTTAAACTTTCATAATAATTCATTTCCCTTTATGTTTTAAAATTATTACCTTTCTGTCTTTATTTCCCTACTAACTTACTTGGATTCTAGTAATTAGTTGTTGTAGTGAACACCACCGAGTGATGTTTTGAAACTTTGGACTTCATAAAGTTGGATGAGCTCCAGTAGCAAAGAAGGAAGTGTTAACTAGCTTAATTGACAAATAAATGCTTCCCAGCTTGGTATGTGATTGAGATTTTTGTTGCAAGTTCGTGAATCAGTTTAACTGCCCCTGCCCTGGGGACTAAAGTCAGATATGTGCTTGTGGGAATCTTTGTCTTTCCCACACCACCCTGCATTTTAAAAACTCTTGTGTGGGACAGTCCCACCATGTAATAGCTGTTCTTCCTTACTCAGCTACTTTCCCTGGAGAGAGGCCAGTAGAAAATCTAGACTAGTTTTTTGTAGTCTATTTTCATGTCACTTATTGAGAACTACTGTTTTCTGTTACATTATCAGTAAATATTTTAATCAAGGAAAAGGGAGGTAATAGGAAGGAAAGGAGAACAAAATCCTTAACCCTAGTAGGAACCTGATGAATGCAATTTGTTCTGGATAATTGCAGTAGTCCCCCAGGTAAAGAACCTTTTAAAAATATGTCAGATATAGCCAAGAGGAATGAAATCGTATGTTCATGCAAAAGCTTGTTCACATGCAGCCTTCATTTGCAGTTCCTATGAATGTTCATGGCAGCATTATTCATAATAGCCAAAGTCTGGAAGCAACCCAAACGTCCATGGAGCAATGAATAGGTCAACAAAATGTGATCTGTTCACAAGATGGAAAATTACTCAGCCATAAAAAGGAATGAAGCACTGAGACCTGCAGCCACACAGATGAACCTCAGATCCATGCTGAGTGAAAGAAGCCAGACACAGGAGACCATGTGCTGTGTGACTGTATTTCTAGGAAATCTTGAGTCACCATGGGCAAGTTGCTATCACCTTTGTTCAGTGGCCAGAAGCGAGGGCATTAATATTTACCCTTGCCAGGGTTTACTAGATTGAAGCGTTTCCAATAGGCCATAAACTTCCAGCATGTTGACTTGTACATGTAGATATTTGATCAATATATAGTAAATGAATATTGATTTAAACAGAAAAAGGCAAGTGAGAGTGCTTTCTAAACTTAAAGCCCTAAAGATAGGAGGTTGTGGCATTAATAGATTCTGGTGTGTTTATTTGAGGGAATTTAAAAATAATTTAGATGTTCAACAATATATTTTATTGTGGAGGTGTTTTGTAACTAATGACAACACGGAAATGACTTCTCTTCTAGGCCTTGCAGTATTAAAACATGTGCTGACACCACGAATAAAGGCAACTCACGTTGCTTTTGATTGCATGAAGAATTATTTAGATGCAATTTATGATGTTACGGTGGTTTACGAAGGGAAGGACAATGGAGGGCAGCGAAGAGAGTCACCGACCATGACGGGTAAGTGTGTTCATGCACCCGAAATGCCTGCCACGCGATGTATATGGTGCATATGTTTATGTAGAATTCAGTTTTGCAAAGTAAGTTAAGTGACCTTTTTTCCTTCATTACATTTACCTGGTATATTTTTCAAGATGTTATTAAGATGTAACAGTTGAAATTTCATTAGTCCTGCAAAGTGCGGTGTTTCTTGGCTGTCGTATTAGTCCTATGGACTAATCAGTTATCGTTAATCCAGCCTTTTTCTACTCAAAGTTCACACATACAAATGGAAAGCTCTGTAAAGGGGAGGAAGGCGTGAAGAAGGAGCACACCCCTGGCAGTACTGAGGTGCACATTATTAGTGCTGCCCTTTTGCTGTATTTTTCATAAAATATTTATGAAATTTGGTGTCATTGTGACAAGAAGAAATACAGTTAAGTGTGACCTTTTTTTTTTCCAAACATGTTAGGTTTTAAGAACCTTTGAGCTATTGTCAGATATATTCTTATTCTACCGTCCCTCCCTTATAAAAAAGTGGCATATTAATATTTTTCTCTTTTAAACTATTGAAGGAGTTATTTACCTATTTTTGCATTTGAAAACAAGACATTTGTTCAGCAAGATTGTCATTAGTTTATTAAACATAGTTTAAGATTAAACAAGTGTTTATAACCAATGAAAAACAGATAGACTCCCCATAATAACCTTGTTTAAATGCTGCTACTTTTATCATGTCCCCTCCTGTCTAAGAACCCGTTGGTTCAGCAGAGTTCATGGGTCATGCCAGCCTCTATAGCCTGCTCTCGGAGGACTGTGTTCCAGCCTTGAGCTCTGCCTTGCCTTCGCCTCGTCCTGCACTGTGCCGTGAAGCCTCGGCCATGGTGAACCTGGCTGACTGAGTCCTCCTGCACCTCATGCATATTCAGTAGTCAAAGACTTTGTGTGGCCACTCCTGCTTTCCACAGGAAACCACCCTCTCTTTTGTTGCCCTTATCCAAGCCTACTGTTCCCCTAGAGTGACAGGTGACGCCTTTCCCAGCATAGCACCGTGCCTTCTCCCCCTGCTCTCGCAGTACTGCTGTGGCACTGACGGCGTGTGTTATAGTGCTGGCACTTAGCGCAGGGCTCTGTCTTTCTCTCTTCCCAGCTGCATCGCAAGTGCCTTAAGGAATCCGAAACCCTCTTTGAGTTGCATTGCCTGGGTTCCAACCTCCCACTGCCCTGCTTATCCTCTGCTACATGTGAGCTGACTGTGGCTTTGGGGTGGTCACTGCCTATGTGTATTCATTACAAATTGTGTCTCTTTTCGAAAGATTGACCTTTCTGACACCCAGATACCATAAAGAAAATAAAATCTTATCACTTCAGTCAAGGATAAAGTATTTCTGAATTAAGGGAAAAATACACCAGAGTAAAATCAGGACTGAAAGACAAACTGGGAAATTATTTGCAACTTAGATCATAGAAAAGGGGCCATTTCCTTCATGTATAAAGTACACTTACAAATTGATAAGAAGATGACTGATAACTGGAAAGAAAAATGGGTAAAGGACAAGAACAGACATTTCACATTTAACCGCATTCACAAGATAAGTGCAAATTAAAACTACAGGGGATGCCTTTTTTTTTTTTAATCCATTAGATGGGCAAACATCCCAAGGTTTGATCATAGGCTCAGTGGGTGAGATTAAAGTATTAACAGCCATTTTTATACTTTGCTGTTAGGAATGCAATATAGTATAAATCTCTGTAGAAGTTGCTTTGGACATTTATCTCAGATACACAAATGCATTCACATTTTAGATTTAGCATTCCCACTTTCTGAGACATTATTCTGTATGTATACCTGTGCACATAAGACATAATAATAACACATTTTTCCTTTTAGTGTGTTGCTTTTAACCCATAGCTTGAAAAACCCTGCTTTTATTTTTTTTGTTTTCTGTCACTGACTCAGCCCTGCTTTCAGTTGTTTATATTAATTGATGGGTGTTCTGGTCTGGTTATAATCTACTTTAGATTAATAGTCACTTTAAATTATATGAAATCTGGTATAAGTTGTGTTAGGTATAAAATTCTGTAACTTGGAATACTGTAAGTACTTTGTGGCCAATTTCATTAGTATTAAATATTATCTCTATATATAGCAGGCGATTTAATATTCATATTTTATGGTGCAATTAAGAAATAATTTTTTTCATGAAGTTGTTAGATTGTTGATATGCCGTGACCCAGTGTTTCTCAGAGCATTCTGGGGGATCACTGTTTGTCAGTATTAGCTGCAGTGATTGTTGAACATGCAGAGCCTCTGCTCCACTCCACGTTGCTACCAGGACGCTCTACAGGGAAGCTGTAGAAGCTGCAGTGCTAACAAATGCTACAGGAATTCTTGCGGTCACCTCCATGAGGTCTCATGTTGAAGAGAGAGGCAGCCAGTAGTGTCCCTTGTCCTTCCCATTTTATGGTGTAAGTTTCATTTTAAGGGAGGTATAAATCAAAGCCCACCTGGGCATTCTCGCATGGTTCACTGCTTCTTGTCATCATGGAAGATGTCATTGCGGCAGAGATGAGACAGGGTAGTTTGATTACTATTGATTTTTTTAAAATTATATTTCTGAAATGGCTGGTGTAATATAATAAATTGTGTGCTTAAGGACAACATTTGGTATTCTATTTAAGTATTGTGTGTGATCCTAGTTAAGTTTTTTCTACCAGTATTTTCATATTACAACATATATATACTCTCCATGTCTATTAATATTTTTATATTTAAAAATATGGAGGCCAGGTGCAGTGGCTCATGCCTGTAATCCCAGCACTTTGGGATGCCAAGATGGGTGGATCATAAGGTCAGGAGTTCTAGACCAGCCTGGCCAACACGGTGAAACCCCATCTCCACTAAAAATACAAAAATTAGCTGGGCACAGTAGCAGGCGCCTGTAATCCCAGCTACTCAGGAGGCTGAGGTAGGAGATTCACTTGAACCCGGGAGGCAGAGTTTGAAGTGAGCTAAGATCGTGCCACTGGACTCTAGCCTGGGTGACAGAGCAAGACTCTGCCTCAAAAAAAAAAAAAAAAAAAAAAGGGGGGGGGGATCAGGGAAGAGGGGATTACAGATAACCCAAAAGAAGAAGAAAAAATCTCCACAAGTTCACCTATCCAGCTGTAACCCCAGTTAACAGTTTGGATATTTTCCTTTAAATCCTCTTTTTTATAATGTCTATATGTTGGAGAAAGTATGTGCCTTTATGTGTTTTTTAAAGATGAGATTGTGTGTGTGTCTATAGTTCCTGTTCTTCATATTTTCTGTGTGTCATAAATAGCTGTGCATGTCAGTACATATACTTCCATAACTTTTTTTTAAAGGCTATATAGTGTTCATTGATGTGATTTAACAGCAGTTGTCTACCCAGCTTCATCCTGTTGGATATGCGTCCTGTGTGTTGCCTTCAGAGCAAATGGGACTTGGTTTCTACAGCAAATAGACCTGTGACCCATACGAATACTTGGAAGACTTTCTGCATTACCCAAGCATATCAGTGTACTTTAGTGCCTACTAGAAATTTACAGGTAGAAAAACAATTATACCTTAGAGTATTTTTTCCTAGATTCCCTAAGGTGCTATAGTGTAATTTTTACTCAGGTAATATGAACTATGCTTCAACTAAGATAGTTTTTGCAAATGTGGATATATAAGTACTTCATTAAATCTGTAGGAAGTATTTATGCCACTTATTTCCTGCCTTCAGTGTTAGAACCTCCTAAATGTCATTTGACATTGAACTGCTTTCCACTTTGTCGCCTGCTCCTCTCATAGTCCCTATCCGGGTCCTGAACCTTAGGGACTTGGCTGTTACAGCCCCACCATGGCTACGCTGGGCCTTGGTCCTCTCTGAGACTTAGTTTCTTCATCTTACAAGGAGATAATAACAGCCTCTGCCTGCCTAGAATTGCAGAGATTGAATGAAATAATCAGCGTTCTCAAAAGCATGCTGTAAACGCATTCTGAGCACATGTAAGTTTTAGGAAAAACGAAAGGACCCATGAAGATTTTGGAGTCCTTTCCTCACAGCAGCACTGCCTCTTCTTCCAAAGCAGGCGTCTTAGTAGAGGCCCTGCCACTTCCTGAGCACTGTACTCCACAAAGCTTTCTATTTCTGACATTCAAAATGCAGTCTGTTCCATCTTCCTTACAGTCTGTGTGCCAGCACTTGAAATATTGGGTGTTTGCAGTGCTGACCAGATGATTACTTAATTATGGAAATGTTGAGGTGGAGATCTAGATAATTCAGTGAAGGCAGGGAAATTAGTATTGGAATCTGTCTTTTTATGTATCAGAAATAGAAATAAGATTGGGTGAGAAGTAATATGTGGCTAAAACACTATAATAGCTAACACATAGTGCATACTGTGTGCCAAGCACTCCTGTAGGTGCTTGAAATCTTCTTGGAATGACCCTTTCAGTGGTGCTATTATTATTATCCCTACTTTATAGACTTGGACACTTAGGCACAGAGAGGCTGACAGAGTTGCCCAAGGTCACCCCAGAGGTGGAGACCCAGGCTACCTGACTACATCGTGTGTGCTCTTCCCTAGGGCACAGTTCTGCTGCTGAAAATGCTTTTTAAGCAGTTCTTTGATTTTTCAGATGATAGTACTGTAGGAAAGTTAAGACAAAAATATTGAAAAATTAAAATCTTCTTTGTTTACTGTTTTGCACATGTGTTATTAAAGCCAGTTTACTCCTGGAAGTGTATAAGAATACAGGGTATTTTTGATCACCTAAATGCTGCATGTTACTAAGAGCTCGACACTGAAATCAAGAAGAGCAGTTGCAGAGAGTACTTAGGAAAAACGGGAAGTGTGGGGTTGAAAGAGCAAAGACAAGTGTTCCTCGGACAGTGGAGTGTAGGATTCATCATTTCTCAGAACATGTTTTTGAACGCGTTTTCAATTTGAGGCAAAAGGTCTCAGTCTCCTACTCGGCATACCTCCCTACCTTAGTCAGCTCTTCAGTCTTAGGAATATTTCTTTGTTCTCCAAGGAACTTAAATACGTTAACATTCTTACCTTTGCACAAGGAGCCACCTACAAAGAAGGGAGTTTCTAGGCTCAAAGTTCTTTCTTAGAATACATAATAGCCTCATCCCTTGTGCAATCGAGGCTGAAAAAGACCGTCTCCTTTTTTCAGATTAGCAAGTCTTAAAAACTACAGTTGTTTACAGCGCTCATGGCTATTCCACAGTAAGAATTTTGGTTATTTTACCAATTATATAATATGTTAAAATATGGCAAGTATCAGGAAAGCAAGGAGTAGCAATGATTAGAAACCAATGGCCAAGTTAGAGAGGAGGGGCAGTTGCTCCCGCAAGTTTGTTGTGGCTGTGTAGCAGTCAGTGACAAGAAGCTGTGTGTCAGGCGATGAGCAAGGAGTTGAGGATTATCAGGCGCCTGTGAGTGCCCAGCTGTGTGCCAGGTAAAGAGGTGCCATTGTGAACCAGACCAGCTTCCTCTCGGCCCCCGTGGAGCTCACAATCTGGTGGGGAGGCAGCAATCACCGTGGTGACAGGTGACACACTAGGATGGGGGCTGGTGATAGTAGGCATTTTGGAGTCCCTTCAGAGAGGTGAGTATGGACTGAGAGGAGGTTCCAGCTTCCTATTCCTGGGCTGCGTATAGCACTAAAAGTTGTCACATGAAAAATTACATTTGGTACTATTGATTTAACTTAATGACTTACGTAATTATAGTCGACTTAGAAATTATAACATGCTCTTCTACTTCAGCTTGAAATCCCTAACCACCAGTTTACAATCCTTATTTATTTTTAACTTTTGTTTATTTTTGCTAAGGAATCTGTACTTTTCCGTCATTCACAACTTTTTTTGTCCTATTACCTTATTTCCATTATGTTACTTTATATGACCATGAGTTCTAAAATAGAAAAAAATGAATTATTTTTGTTGTTTGCTAGAATTTCTCTGCAAAGAATGTCCAAAAATTCATATTCACATTGATCGTATCGACAAAAAAGATGTCCCAGAAGAACAAGAACATATGAGAAGATGGCTGCATGAACGTTTCGAAATCAAAGATAAGTGAGTAACAACAGTTCCACCACTTCCGGAACTTCAGTTCAACTAGATTTCAGTATAGTCAACAATTGGAAACCAGTGTAAATAGTTATATTGTCTCAAGAATACATTTTATAAATTCAAATCAAATTTTATGCATATCTGATCGTGTTTTAAACTTTACTTGTACAAATCACTCTAAAAGAACTTGTTACAGTGGGCCCATCTACTTTCATTGATAGTATTTCTTTGACAATACTACATGATAACATAGCAAATTAAATTAAAAACAACAACAAATACACAAAAAAACTTTCCAGTGTCAGCTGCCCGGACCTACCTCTCAGGTCACATAGAGTGGGGTTACTGTGTGAGGAGCAGCTGCTGGGCCGGTGTGCACAGAAAAGCAAGGGAGGGGTAGAGGACTGTGCTGATGTACAGGCGGACATGACGCTGTTATATTTGTTGGAAATAGAAGGGGCAGTTGACAGGGTTATATCCACAATGTCTTCTGTGATTAATTATATTCAGAAATTTTAGCCAATTGTTTTATTCTCTTAATATATATTTTCTTCTCAAGAAACTATCATTGTTCTTCTTTTCCTTGTTTTACAGTGAAATGTTTTTAATTAACCCTCCTGGAATAACTTTACTAGGTGAAAATGATTAAAAGTGTGATAGGTTAAAAATGAAACTTTAAGCTTCTATTTTTCATTGACTCTCAAGTGTACATGATGTAATTTATTAAGCCAGCCATTCAGGACCACTTTGGCCATGGAAGAAATTTAAAAGTAAGATCTACATGTATTGACATGAAAATGTGTTCTCGGAAAAAAGACAAATGTATTTAACGTCCTACTTATTTTATAAGTATTTATAAATATTTAGAATGAGTTTGGACATTTTAAAACAATGATTATCGCTAGGGTGTGTGATTTATAAAGCAATAGAAGTGCTTTTCCTTTCAGTATTTTTGTGTTTTAGATTATTATGTTGGGTATGTTCTGCTATTATAACTTTACAAATCTTATATAAGATGGGAAAATGAATTACTATGCTGTTTTCCTTCTTTCACCTGCCTTTCTAATTCCATGGGAATAAAGGTGTTTTTGAGACAGACCAGGTGCAGTGAGCAGTCCATATCCATGGATTCCACATTCGTGGATTCAAACAAGCACAGATCAAAAACACTCAGAAAAAAAGGGGGCTGACTGTGGTGGCTCATGCTTGTCATCCCAGCACTTTGGGAGGCTAAGGTGGGCAAATTGCTTGAGCCCAGAAGTTCAAGACAGCCTGGGCAACATGGCAAAACACCGTCTCTACAGAAAATACAAAAATTAGCCAGGCGTGCACCTGTAGTCCCAGCTACTCAGGAGGCCGAGGTGCGAGGATCTCCTGAGCCTGGAAGGTTGAGACTGCAGTGAGCTATCATTGCCCCACACTCCAGCCTGGCAACAGAGTAAGGCCCTGTCTCAAAAAAAAGGATTTGGGAGGATGTGCATATGTTATATTCAAATACATGCCATTTTATTCATATATCTGGGACTTGAGCATCCGTTGATCTTGGTCTCTGCTGGGTATCCTGGGACCAGCCTCCTGTGGATACAGAGGGACCGCTGTCTAAGAACCGCTGGTCCTATCTTTGACTTCTGGTGGAATAGGAGCTCCATGTAAAAAGGAGGAGAAGCTGCAGCGGGTTATTAGCCATTTGTGAGTCAGGTCACTGTAAAACTTTACAGATCAAAAGTTTAAAAGACAAAAAGCATCCTCATAAAATGACTTAAAACCACCTGTTGAAATATTACATATATAATTCATGTATACTAGTCATAGAGCATATTAAAGATATTTTGAAAAACTAGAAACTTCTATTAATCCAAATTTCTGGATGTTTCCTTATTCATCCTTATTTTCCAAGGACCTGCATAACTTTTCCAGCATGTAATAGCTACCTAATTGATATTTTTAGAATTGAAATACTGAAGTGACTAAAATCTAAACCTTTTTCATTCTGGCCATAGGATGCTTATAGAATTTTATGAGTCGCCAGATCCAGAAAGAAGAAAAAGATTTCCTGGGAAAAGTGTTAATTCCAAATTAAGTATCAAGAAAACTTTACCATCAATGTTGATCTTAAGTGGTTTGACTGCAGGCATGCTTATGACCGATGCTGGAAGGAAGCTGTATGTGAACACCTGGATATATGGAACCCTACTTGGCTGCCTGTGGGTCACTATTAAAGCATAAACAAATAGCTGTCTCCAGACAATGGGATGTGCTACATTGTCTATTTTTGGCGGCTGCACATGACATCAAATTGTTTCCTGAATTTAATAAGGAGTGTAAATAAAGCCTTGTTGGTTGAAGATTGGATAAAATAGAATTTGTGACGAAAGCTGATATGCAATGGTCTTGGGCAGACATACCTGGTTAATACAACTTTAGCACCAGGGCTGCTGGAAGGGTAAAAGCTAAATGGAGTTTCTCCTACTCTGTCCATTTCCCATGAACTAATGACAACTTGAGAAGCTGGGAGGATTGTGTATTTTGTAAGTCAGATGGCTGCATTTTTGAGCATTAATTTGCAGCATATTTCACTTTCTCTGTTATTTTCAGTTTATTACAACCTGACAGCTCTAAGGTCTTATTACTAAAGTATTTAGTATCTTGCAGCTAGCTAATATTTCATCTTGTGCTTATTTCTACAAGTCAGTGAAATAAATTGTATTTAAGAAGTGTCAGGATGTTCAAAGGAAAGGGTAAAAAGTGTTCATGGGGAGAAAGCTCTGTTTAGCACATGATTTTATTGTATTGCGTTATTAGCTGATTTTACTCATTTTGTATTTGCAAAATAAATTTCTAATATTTATTGAAATTGCTTAATTTGCACACCCTGTACACACAAAAAATGGTATAAAATATGAGAAAGAAGCTTAAAATTGTGACTCTGATTCATTATAGCAGAACTTTAAATTTCCCAGCTTTTTGAATATTTATGCTATTAGTAGTTCCCTATGTCTGTGCCATAAGTGCTTGAAAACATTAAGGTTTTCTGTTTGTTTTTTTTTTAATATCAAAATAGTCAGTGTGAACCTTGGGTGGACCCCAAGTTCACAAGATTTTTAAGGTGATGAGACCCTGCAGACATTCTGCCTAGATTGACTAGCCTGTGCCTTTGCCTTCTTCTCTTTGATTGAACAGAATATTCAGAAGTCACGTTTCTGTAATGTGGTGGATTCCCACTGGGCTCTGGTCCTTTTCCTTTGGATCCCGTCAGTGGTGCCGCTCAGCGGCTTGCACGTAGACTCGCTGGGAAGAAATGCAGAGCCAGCCTGGGCTGCCCACTTTCAGAGCTGACCTCTTTAAGCCCTGGTGAGTGGGCTTCACCAGCTACTGCAGGGGCATTTTGCATTTGTCTGTGTCAAGAAATTCACCCTCTCAAGCCAGTGAAATACAGACTTAATTCATCAGGACTGAACGAATTTGTTTATTTCCCATTAGGTTTAGTGGAGCTACACATTAATATGTATCACCTTAGAGCAAGAGCTTTGTTCCAGGAACCAAATCATGATTTTCAGCCATGGAACAATATATCCCATGGGAGAAGACCTTTCAGTGTGAACTGTTCTATTTTTGTGTTATGATTTAAACTTTGATTTCCTCATAGTCCTTTAAGTTAACATTTCTGCTTACTGCTACTGGATTTTTGTTGCAAAAATATATCAATGGCCCACATGAAACATACCAATTGGATCATGATAAGCAAAATGAAAGAAATAATGATTAAGGGAGAATCAAGTGACTGTGTTACACTGCTTCTCCCAGGCCAGAGAGTAAACTCTTTCAAGCATCGTCTTTGAAGAGTCGTGTGGTGTGAACTGGTTTAGAATGGATGCACACATCCATGCACACTCAGGATACTGTTGGCCTAATCATCAATGGGGCATGGGTAAAACTTATGAAGTTTCCTCATGCCAAATTGTAATTTTCTCTTACCTGTGAAGTAAAATTTAGATCAATTCCATGTCTTTGTTAAGTACAGGGATTTAACATATTTTGAATATAATGGATATGTTCTAAATTTGAACTTTGAGAGGCAATACTATCGGAATTATGTGGATTCTAACTCATTTTAACAAGGCAGTCTGACCTGCATAAGATCACTTGAATGTTATGTTTCATAGAACTATACTAATCTTCTCACAAACGGTCTATAAAATATAGTAGTTGAAAAAATTTTTGTATCAAAATGTTTGGAAAATTAGAAGCTTCTCTTTAACCTGTATTAATACTGACTTGAATTCTTTTTTAAAATTAAGAACCGTATACCTACCTGTAAATCTTTTCACATATCATTTAAACTTTTGTTTGTATTATTATTGATTTACAGCTTAGTTATTAATTTTTCTTTATAAGAATGCCATCGATGTGTATGCTTTTATGGTTTTCAGGAAAGGGTGTGTTTGGATGAAAGTAAAAAAAAAATAAAATCTTTCACTGTCTCTAATGGCTGTGCTGTTTAACATTTTTTGATCCTAAAATTCACCAACAGTCTCCTAGTACATAAAATAGGCTTAATGACTGGCCCTGCATTCTTCACAATACTTTTCCCTAAGCTTTGAGCAAAGTTTTAAAAAATACAGTAAAATAATCAAAACCATTAAGCAGTATATTAGTTTGGTTATATAAATTCATCTGTAATTTATAAGATGCATGGCCAATGTTAATTTGCTTGACAATTCTGTAATCATTAAGTGATATCAATGAAACATGTCAAATGCCTGAAATTAACTAAGTTGGTGAATAAAAGTGCCGATCTGGCTAACTCTTAGACCATACATACTGATAGTTTTTCATATGTTTCATTTCCATGTGATTTCTAAAATTTAGAGTGGCGACAATTTTCCTTGCTATGGGTTACATAGGCTTTATTTTTTCCTTTGTTCATAATTATATTCTTTGAATAGGTCTGTGTCAATCAAGTGATCTAACTAGACTGATCACAGATGGAAGGAAATAAGACCAAGTTCAAGACCAGCCTGGGCAACATAGCGAGAACCTGTCTACAAAAAAATGAAAAAAAATTAGCCTGGCATGGTGGCAGTGCAACTGTCGTCCCAGCTGCTCGGGAGGGTGAGGTGGGAGGATCGCTTCAGCCCAGGAGGTTGAGGTTGCAGTGAGCCATAGTCATACCACTGCACTACAGCCTGGGTAACAGCACGAGACCCCATCTCTTAAAAAATAAAAAGGAAATACAGAAATACAAAATTTGCTTATTATAGACACACAGTAACTCTCAGATGTATACCACAACAAATGTGAAAAGAGAAATGTCTATCAAAGCAGTATTTTGTGTGTATAATTGCAAGTGCATAGTAAAATAATTTTTAACCTTAATTTGGTTTTAGTAGTGTTTAGATTGAAGATTGAGTAAAATATTTTCTTGGCAGATATTCCGTATCTGGTGGAAAGCTACAATGGCTTTGTAGTTTTGCACAGCTTGCTTTATAAACAAGATTTTTTTTCCCTCCTTATGTGCCAGTTTTCATTACGAGTAACTCATACTTTTTGATTAAAGAACTTGAAATTACATTATCGCTTAGTATAATTGACATTATATAGAGACTGTGTAACATCCAGTCATTAGAATGAAAATTAGTACTTTGGTCAAACTAATATTTAGAACATTCACGTATTTATCAAATATTCATGTAATTAACTGAATTTGAAACCTTTAATTCAACTATTATGGAGTGCTTGTACGATCACTAATTGACTCAGTTTAGAGTAGCTGCAACTCTTCGATACTTATCATCAATATTTGACATCTTTCCCAATTTGTGTATGAAAAGTAAATCTATTCCTGTAGCAACTGGGGAGTCATACATGAGGTCAAAGACATATACCTTGTTATTATAATACGTGTACTATAATAATACCTGGTTATCCTGAGCAGAAAAAAAGTTATTTTTAAGAAAGTCACTTCAAATAGAAAGCTGAAGTACTTCTAATGTACTGAGGGGAATCTAATATGTGGAACAACCTTTCAATAAAATGTTTATTGATGTTGAAACAGATCAGTTTTTTCATCCGGATTATTATTGGTTCATGATTTTATATGTGAATATATGATATGTTCTGCAATTTTATAAACGTTCATGTCTTCTTTTTAAAAAGGTGCTATTGATATTCTGTGTCTCCAGCAGGCAAGAATACTTGACTAACTCTTTGTCTCTTTATGGTATTTTCAGAATAAATTCTGACTTATGTTACTGGGATTATTGGTGCCTCGTTAATTCAGCAATAAAGGAAAATATGGATCTCAAAAGTTGGTGATAAAAAGTTATTTCATATATATGTGATAAAGTTTACATGTTTTTTTTAATATATATATATATGTTATATTGCCAAATACGGCTATTAAATATTACATAATATTTTAAAGGTTCACTTTGTTGGGATACTAGACAAGCAGTGCCCTAAGCCTCTTGCGGGCATCCTCTCATCTCACTGTCATCACAAACCCCATGCCACAGCGTAGCTTGACCACTACAAGTAATGCATCTGCAGGCACACTGCCAGGTTTTGGATACCGTTTGTACCAACAGATACCTTATCAAGGTAAATCCCAGACTAAAAGAGTTGGTGCTGTGTCACTACATGCATAACTAAATACGTTTCCTGCCGGGCACGGTGGCTCACGCCTGTAATCCCAGCACTTTGGGAGGCCGAGGCAAGTGGATCACTTGAGGTCGGAGTTTGAGACCATCCCTGGCCAACATGGTGAAACCCCATCTCTACTAAAAATACAAAAATTAGCCAAGCATAGTGGCAGGCACCTGTAATCCCAGCTACTCGGGAGGCTGAGGCAGGAGAACCACTTGAACCCTGGAGGTGAAGATTGCAGTGAGCCAAGATGGCGTCACTGCACTCCAGCCTGGAGGACAAGAGCGAGACTCTGTATCAAAAAAAAAAAAATTCCTCTCCTGTTTGATCTTTCCCTTACCTGTAAAGAGGGGAGAATATGTATTTACTTCATAGAGTTCAGGGAAATGACTCTCACTAGTTTGAGACTCTAGGTATAAAAATACAATTTTATATCATTTCAACACCCGTGTGAGAGATTGTTCTTCCTAAACCATTTCAGTTTTATTTGCTGTCTAAAGTGTGTGAACAAGTAATTGTCCATTATTTTCTGAAGTGTTTTGGAACTCAACACTTGACTGTGAGGAGTGTTTGTTACTAAACATCTTTCTGGTTATTTCAGCTCATGTATATTGGTTCTGTGAAGACATGCAGAGCTACTTTCTGTCTGGGTCACAGGTCAGTTCTTGATAATTTTCAGACAATGAACCAGTTTTCATTTGTCCATGACCACCTTTCTTCTTTTTCCTCAACTGCACCCATCTTTTGTAAGGTCTTTCAGTTGATTGCAGAGAAGATGGCGGAGAAAAGCCGGAATTCCCACCCACCACCGCCATCCCAATGTTTTATCATTGGCTAGCGTGGAAAAGAGCAGTAACTACTGTGGGAGATCATTTGTTTATGTAATGGAAACAAAAATGAGGAAAGAACCTGACTTAGATCAGAGAACTGATGTATTTAGATTCTTTTTTTTTTTTTAGACGGAGTCTTGCTCTGTTGCCCAGACTGGAGTGCAGTGATCTCAACTCACTGCAACCTCCATCTCCCTGGTTCAAGCAATTCTCCTGCCTCAGCCTCCCGAGCAGCTGGGATTATAGGCATGTGCCA